TCAAAAACAAAATGGATAATGAATCAAACTACTTAATAAAAAAATCATGAAGTTGTAGTTTAGGAATTGCAATAAAATATTTCATGCTCTAATTGTTCCATTAAGTAGTATTAAAGATCTTACTACCATTTCTTGAAACAGCCTTTCACATATTACAAATTCCAGTGACCTGATTGTAAGCTTAAGTGGAATAAATATAAGATAAACTCATAGTTAGTTTAGATGTCAATTCTTTTTATACCGACATCTTTGTCATCAAATGCTTGAATCTTTAAAAAAAAGGAAATATAGTAAAATCATGCATTAACTTCTCTACTAAAAAATGAAACTATAACAATTTGCAAACTTTTCAGAAGTGTGTGTCTATATTTCTGAGATGAGGTATTATGTACACTATTTATATTATTTGGACTATTGTCATCAACTTTGTCACTATATTTATCACAATGTTTTGGCCATTGTACGTTCCGGCCTTCTTCGGGTGGTTGGAATGTCAAAGTGAATGCTATTTCACATTCATTCATATTAAATGGCAGCAGACATTTGCTTATCTGGTTAATACATTCAGTTTTAATATTTTGCCTTAATTTATATTTTTATTATTTAGGGAAGATATTACAAAAAGATACAAATACCTCCATTAATTTTGATATCAAGTTTGACATATCAGATAAAAATGATTCAAAACTAGATTTTTGTTTTATTTATTTATATATATATATATATATATATATATATATAAAACAAAAATCTAGTTTTGTGAAAGTCAATGAAACCTGCTGATTGGTTGCAGATGATTCCATGACTCAGATGCCACCATCAAACTGGTTCTACCACAAATCCAGACAGCTAGTATAATTTGAAATTTATCTAGTGCAACAAACTGCAGATATTTTTTTTTTAATAATCATTTCACCCAAAGTAAGGCAATAAAACCACTAAGCTGTAAGGGGGTGGTTATTGAATGTAAGAGGATATGAGAAAAAAAATCATTACTAATGAGAGACAACAAAAGATAGCGATTGACATTGCATTTAAATTTTTGTAGATCAAATTTGACTGGAAAACAAGAAGCCGGAAGAAAGCTTCACAAGTGAGAAATGCAAGAGAAAAAAAAACTGTTCACATAGAACTTAATTAAATCTAGGTGTTTGAACTGTAAAATGATGAATTTGCTGCCAATCAAGTAGTATGCCTAAATTTCTAAAGTCAAGTTACCAAAGAGGAAACTTCGTCAGAACAATTACTCTGAAATCATTCATAGAAATGGCAGAGAAGCTACATTATGACAATGGAAAATTGTCTGGAGCCTATATACCAAGTCAGGACCAATAATATAGCAGATTCTTCCTTGTACTTTATCTCTAAATGCATAGAAGCACCTGACAAGATGTTGCAGCAATATTCAAAACATGGAAGAATATTAGACTTGTAAATGGGTAAGATAATGTCTAGCAAGAAAAACCCTTTTCTGCATTTATTAATAGGGTCTGATTTCATTTGGTGTGAAGTAACACTTATATGGAGAAACAAAATCAGCAAAACAAGTTCAAATTCTGGCTAAGGCAGCTTTTGTTCAGAGCACATTAATGTCATTGGCAAAAGCATGAATCCATTCCTATCTGCATTTCTATCCCCTTACTATTTGATTTGACAAAAATATCCTACTATTGATATCCTATATCCCTTCAGGACGTAGATGATGATGGTTCTCCACAACTTCCTATCCCTTGTATCTCTTCACAACATTTTCTCCTTTGACTAGCCCATCACACAAACTCATCAGGTGGTTAGCCTGATGCCTTCCCTTGTCTATCTTTCTCTCAATATGCCCTGTGGGTGTCAAATTCTCCAAGCCCTCCTTCCGCATTGTGTTCAAGAAATTTCAGCTGTTGCATTGTAATTCTGTCCCCTTTTTTTTCCTGTTTGAATTTCTGGGATGAGGTGTTATTCTTTAAATGTGGACTATTGTCCTCATCTTTGATGTTATCACACTTTTTAACCCAGGTATGGTAGCTATTTTTTATGTTCATTGGGATCCCAATAAAGAGAATCATTAGCAGTTCTGGTAAGAAGCTGAGTAGAACTTTCTCCTTACTAATGGAATACAAACAGAATGAGGATGATCCAACCCTTTATACATGACATGGTGGTTCCTAGTTGTAAAAATCTGAACAGGCTTGCAATGTTTTGTCTTTGAGGAAGGGGCTATAGGTAATAAAAATTATACATTGGCACATAATAAAATCCATGCTGAATGATCCAACTCTCCAACCCAGAAATAAAATCATGTATCTATGGTGAGGGTGTAGCTTACATTTTGGTCACATTATATCTCTTCATATTTTTAAATATAAATGACAATAGGAAAACTGTAGTAGTTACTGATGCGTTTTGTTCAATGTGGACTTTCTCAAAGCAAAAAATGAAATGAATTTATTTAAACAAAGTAACTAATAACAAAAACAAAATGTCCTTAGTAACTGGAAGAATTTAGAGGATGCTATTTTCATACTGTTAACTGTATACTGTTAACCAAACAAACATACACATCAATATCGTAAAATCAAAAGAAAATGGTTGAATCCATCAACACAGCAATAATAACAATATCTCCAAATGTGACAGTAATTGACATGATTTTCAGGTAAAAGTATGAAAATAGCGTTCTCTAAATTCTTCCAGTTACTAAGGACATTTTGTTTTTGTTATTATTAGTTACTTTGTTTAAATAAATTCATTTCGTTTTTGCCTTGAAAAAGTCCACATTGGACGAAACGCGTCAGCAACTACTACAGTTTTCCTATCGTCATTTATATTTAAAAATATTGTCTTTTCTACAGGTTAACTCTGAGAAATTTTCACATAATCTCTTCATATGGCAAAAATGGCCTTGTGAAAATTTTGATAGCTAATCAAAAGTGAGAGTTAATATGAGCAAAGTAAATTTTTATATAGCTTAATATATTTACCCACTCCAGGGATTAAACTCTTAATGTAACCTCTGTTTCTATTCACTAGGTTATTGGGACATTGAAGTCTTTAAGCCTAATGTCACTTGTCTACATCTTCAACTGAACTAGAGTATATGTCTTGTAACCTAATTAGTTGGTAGAGTTTTTGCAGTTTTATTTGCTGGTAGTTTTTACCTGCCAAGAAATGTAAAATTTAAGAACCTGTACATAAATTTACTGCAGATGATCTACCAATTAAAGCATTTTCTATACATTTTTATCTTAGCAAATTGCTTTCTCTTTTAATCAATATTATAGTCAGGCTCTTTACAATAAGCAACTAATGCACCAACTGTGTTTTGTAAGATACCTAAAATGTATATTTAGAAAAAGAAATTTTTAAACTTAAATTTAAAATTACCAACATCTCCTCCTCTTCATGGACATGTGTAGTCACATCGACATAAAACATCACTTTCATTCAATGAAATCCTAAAAAATGAAATAACTTTTTCCACCATGTCATACATTTCCCTAAAATTCTCCTTGAGATATAAAGCTTTATAGATTGTTTTCCTATATACTACTAAACAATGAGATTTATTTAGAAATTAGTTTCTGATTGGCTGACAAGGCTATGATGTCATATACTTGTTGGAAAAAGATTTCTGATTGGCTTGTTAAAATATGACTTCATGGCCTAACAATCCCAAATTTTCATCATGTTCTTCTTAGTCTGTACAATGATAATATTACACCAGCATATATATATATATATATATATATATATAAGTGAACATTTGAAGTCAACACTTAGAGGTGACAGGCTGTTTCATGCTATTTACACAAGCTCTATCTCTGATATTGAGCACTTTATCCCATAAATATAGCACACCTTAAGAGTATATTTCTTTATATATATAATTTCACCCTAAGCAAGGCAATAAAGCGGTTACTGAGTGTTAGAGAAGTAGAGAAAAACTACTATTAAGGAATGGACAATAAAAAAAAAACAAGAATTAAGATATAACCATTGACATTGAATTTAAATTTTTGAAGATAAAAGTTGACTGGGAAGTAAGAATCCGGAAAAGTGTTCCACAAGTGACAAGTGTGAGAGATGAAACTGTTAGCATAGAATTTAGTTACATCTGGTCATTTTAAGTATAAAATGGTGAGACTTTGCCACAAATCTCGTACTACACTTAAATTTATAGCAGAAAGTTCATCAGAACAATTACTGTCAAAGCATTTATAGAAAAGGCATAGGGAAACTACATCAGTGTTGTGGGGAAGGGATTGAAGCCAAGATGTGTCCGGTCAGGACCAATAACATTGCAGATTCTTCTTTGGATTTTATCAAGAATCTCTATATAGCAGGAGCACCTCCAGATGTGGCAGCAATATTGAAAGTAAGGATGAATGGTAAACTTGTATGTATGTTAACGTCATTTATACTTAATATCAGAAAAGGCAAGTTGAAATTTCTGGTACTCATAATAAAGAAAGAGGGCTTGGAGAATTTTACACAGAAAATGTTGAGAGCAAGAGAGGCTGAGAGAAACGGTGAGTAACCTACCTAATGAGCTTGATTACCCATGTCCCTTCAGGACATGGCACATTAAAGAAGAAACTTTGTTCACAAAAGCTGATTCATAAAAAATACCAAAGAAGGCACTCAGTGTCACACGAGAATAGCCAGATGTATCAGAGGGTTCACTTTGCCACTAGATGCATATTTGTACCTTGGGAATGTACAAACACACACACACACACACGGTAACCAGATGATGGGACAATCTATAAGCATCCCACCTGAGAAGGAATAGATAAGTTTCTCACAAGAAGAAGAATCCCTGTTCAGAGAAAACACCCAAAGCCACACACCAACCATCAATATTAATTAACAAAGTCAGGAGTTGAATAAATAAACAATAATTTCAGGTATATATATGACTGGATTATTGATGAGTAATTTGTAAGTAGATAGAAAGCAAGCTCTGTACAACAGAACCAAATTAAAATTGTGATTTCTTTTTGTTTCAGGTGCTATGAGTTTTGGCAGTATATCCTATGAGACACATACAGCTCTGGCTATTGCAATGAATCGAATTGGAGGAAAATCCAATACAGGTGAAGGTGGTGAAAATCCAGAGAGATATTTAAATGAAGGCACACAAATGAATGCTCGATCAGCTATAAAACAGGTAAGATTTTCATCATTGTCCTTTGCTAATTAATACTTGGACTTGCGGGTTTTGTGTGTATTTTTTTTTTTTTTAAGTGAAGGTGTGTGTTCACTATATAAACAAAGATAGATGCTTACAAAAAAATGCTCCTGCTACGGACATTTATTCCTTTTATGTTGACTGCATTGATTTATGGGAAGTAAGAATTTGAATGGGTAAACATGATCAAGCTCAAGTCAGCCTGGCAGTGAGTTGGGATGACTGAACCTCTACCTCATGAGTAGGGCTGCTGAAACATGTTTGAATGAGGTTGTTGGAAAGTGGAAAAGAGTTCAATACCCAGTGGGAATGACATTATGTGGTTCACATCTTGAAGTCAAGGGGAGAAAGAGGAAGATTCTGTTCTTTTCAGAAGTGGGGTCATAAAATTATAGAAGTGACCAGAAATACTTTCCAGTTTCTTCATGACTTGCATCATGGGAAAATTAACTTATTTATTTTTCTTTATCGATTTTATTTCCTTTTCACCACACACTATAGTGATGTTTCATCATCAAACTGAATTTTCATCTATCACAATGAATGGGTATTCTCTCAGAGAGACCCTTGAGCACTTATTGGGATTAAGTCCCAACTCAGACCTCAAGTGGAAATCGTATAATAAATCCATCACTAAAGATACTGGAAAAACAGTTGGTTCCCTGGGGGTGTATAGCTGGCCACTCTATTTGAGGATACCCGTCTACTAGGGCAGCTAGCAAATCCCTGTTGCAGACGCTTGCTCAGGCACATTTGTGTTTATTCAACAGCCACAGAGCCCACCTGTGGTTTATACTTAACTATACTGAGCAGACCTTAGTTACAGTTTCTGGGAAAGAGCGCATTATCTATAGTGATCAACAATTTGAACAAGGCCAGCAGACTCAATCCCTTGGACATGATGACTTGTGACTTTGTGCTAGCATAGCTATCGACAGGACCAAGGGTCCCATCTACCTAATTTGATTCACCATGCTTGGGTCAACATGTGGCATGGTTTTCAGGCACTTTTCAAAGGTGCCGCATGCTGGGATCAACCCCTCCAGTCCGATAACATCAGGAAGTCACCTTCCTGACAAATCGACCAAAATGAGATTCAAACCTGGATCTCATGGCCAAAGTGCAAACATTCTAACCATCGGCCACATGCCCATTGATTGCCTGTACAGGTCCACTAAGTACCTGCCTCCTCCTGCTATCCTCTAACTTTATAAGAACCAGATTCAGGCCTAAAATGGAATACTGCTCCTCTATATAGGCAGGAGCTGTCCAGTCTTTATACTCTTGATACGGTCTCAAAGGATCCCCATGTCCTTGTGTGTGATGTCTTATTTTCTACCCTGCAACCCATTTCCCCACAGATGAAACGTCACAAGTCTCTCACTGCTCGATAGCTATTTCCCTTGAAAGTGTTCACATTCCTTAGTTCCACCAATTCTAACTTTCACCACTATGACCTGCCATGCCTTACACTTTATTGTGAACCACATTCATTCCCTTCATATTCCATTAATGAGATATAAGTCCCACTCAAACAGCTTCTTCTACAAGCTGCTACTTTGTGGAACCAACAACGGAAGAGGATGCTTTGTCTATCACTACAATCTTAACCTGTTCAAGTCTAGGTCTAACGGTTATCTTCCCCATAAATTGTAGCTCTTACTTTGTAACCTTGAGTGACTCTTGGGCCTTGGACTGAGTGAACCTCATTGGAAAAAAAAAAAAAAAAACTTTTTTTCTGAATATCTGGGATTAAGATTTATCATTATTTACATTCAGACCAATATGCTCATCTTTGTTCCTCCCAAATCTCAAGTGAAACTCATATTTACAATCCATCACTAAAGATGTTGGCAAAATGGCCAGTTCCTTGTACCATTCTGTAAAGTACTTAACTCCTCCTACCATGCTCTATCTTTCTGAGTCTGGTAAGAGTAATAATGGAGTACAGCTTCCATATCTGAGTCGGAGCTGCCCAGTCCTCTATTTCCAGCATTGACAGAGTTCAGAAGCATTTACATGGTCTTGTGGGTGATGAATTATTTTCAACCCTACATTCCCTTTCCCCACATACAAAATATCACAAACCAATTGTTACTTCCATGGCAAATGTTCAGACAATCTGCATTCTTTAATTGCACCAGTTCAGACCTTTACATTTAGGACCAGCCATACCGCATGCACAGTCGAATCCTCTTTGTTTCCTTCATACTCCATTGTTTAAGAAATTCTTCTTGTCATAAATCTCTCAAAGTTTCATATCTGCACAGTTTCAAATCCAAATGTAAACAAAGAATTTTTACAATAGATTCTTTTATTAATCCCACAGATTTTTATCACTTTAAATGTTATTTTTAGTGTATAGTGATAAAAATCTGTGGGATTTAAAAAAAAAAAATCCATTCTAAAGTTTTGTTTGTTTGTGTTTGGATACAAAACTGTGCAAATATGAAAAAGTTCATGAAATCTATAACTGGAGAAATTTTGCTATATATATATATATATACCCAAGTATAGGATTGGTGTATATGGAATAAATTCCAATAATTAACATGTACTATTCTTAAAAGAGTGCTCAATACAGAGTAGAGCAAATATAATGATTTATTTGAAAATTATAGCATAAATATGTTATAAAATCGCTACAAATTTTGTTTTAACATATTTGTTATAATTTTCGAATAAATAATTATATATAATATATATATATATATATATTTAGTTGGATTGATGTGAGTTTGTGACTCTGGGTTTCATGCTATTTGGAAACTTGTCATCGGAATGCCACTGAGCCAATGAGTGAACGTGTGTGGATGTATGTTTTCATGAGTATCAGTGGTGTTCCGACAACAATTTTTCCGTCCACATCCATAAAAACACCGATATACCAAAACCATATATAAATCCAAAATTTAAAAATTCAGTTTGACAATCGCAAATAGTGTGAAATCTAGGGTCACAAACTCACACCAATCCAACTAAATATGTTAGCTCTATCACTGATATTGAGCACTTTCCAATAAATACCACACATATATAATATATAAATAATATATATAAAAAATTACACGCACACACATATATATATATATATATATATATATATATATATATATATTTATTTTTTATATATTTTATATATATATATATATATATATATTATATATATACATATATTTTTACACACACACATTTTACATACACACACACACAGACATTTTACATATACATATATACACACACACACATTTTACATATACACACACACACATTTTATATATATATATATATATATATATATATATATATATATATTTTATATATATATATATATATATATATATATATACACAGACACACCATTCAATGGATATTGCTGCCACATTTGATCTAGTGCTCCTGCTATATATCTCATGATTCCTGATAATATACAAAAAAAGAATCATTAATGTTTAACTGTTGAAATAAGTAGATGTAACCATAAGTTCTATTCTGATAGTTTCTTCTCTCGCACTTCTCATTTGTGGAACTCTCTTCCAGTTTCTTGCTTTCCTGTCACCTATGATTTTCAATAATTTAAATGAAACCTCAATCTCCTATCTTTCTAAAATTCTGTTCTTTTATTGTCCTTTCCCCACACTAATATCTCATTTTCTTTCACTCTCAGTAACCTCTTGCATCTCAGTCACATTAGTTACCATTGCCTTCCATTATGACTATAGTTCCTAATCTCTGCTATGTCTTACCATCTACTTAATTTCTCTAACTTCTGTCTTGTTTTCTTCTGTATTCCCTCCCATTTCTATAATATTTCTTAGTCTGTTCTTGGATCCATTTTCACCTCTTTCTATCTCTTCAGGGATAGTACAGTTCACCAGCTTGTACATATACATGCAAATCAAAATGTGATATTTTCTTTCCTTTTGTTTAGGTTGCTTCTGGCCGTTTTGGAGTGACCAGCTCCTATCTTGCACATGCAGATGATATTCAGATAAAAATGGCCCAAGGTGCCAAACCTGGAGAAGGGGGAGAATTACCTGGATACAAGGTAAGCATTCTTATGATTCTTAAGTGCCAAACCTTTAAACTCGACATGCATTATGTGGAATTAACCCACCTTGTCTGCTAGGGAATTTTTCTTAATGCCTGCTAGGTGGCATTGTATAAAGCAATATATATTGAAAAGAAACTAATCTTTTCTCTCTTCAACCACAGGATGTCATAGTAACAAGGTATATATAGATTCCCTTTGATTTTGATTGATTCGTTTTCTACAGCTTATCAACACTTTGCAGGTTAAAGTCGGAAAATATTTTTAGATTGTAAGAATTTTTTTTTTTTTTTTTTTTTTTTTTTTTGAGCTAATAATGATTTAGCGATAGAAATCTTGCTAATTAACCCATAGTTGGGGAGGAGAAGTGGATTGATATGTATGTGAATATAACAAACACAACAAAAAATAGAATTCTGCTCTCTGATTAAAAATTCCGAGCCATTATTCATTATAGCACATGCACCTTCAAATTCCTAAGCAGTTACCCATGTAGGTACTGACCAGACTCAGTGTTGCTTAATTTCAGTGATCATGTGGGAATCTGTTTCAACATAAGGTGGATGTAAGCCTATATCCCCTTTGTCTCAGAATCACATATTGCATCACATATAACACAATTCTACCATGACACTGTCTTATGTGACTACAATAATATCTCTACTGCAATAATATCTCCATAACAATGTCCACATAAATATTAACTTTGGGGTCCTTCAAACTGGCAACTCCCAACATGATTTGAACACAATCAGTTACAAAAAAGGTTTTCATCTTTATCTCTCTAGGGCATTACTGTTGGCTCTTTAATAAAAGTTGAACTGGAATGAGTATTGGTGGGGGTTCAAAATTTAATAAGCTGGGGTATTGCAATAAGTGGGAGTGTTGGAAAAATCTGAGGAAGAAGTATTGAGTCATTTGTTTAATGACACATCAACTCCTCATGGGTCATTTAATGCCAGAATTTGATTTTCTTAAGAGATTTGAAGTAATAAAGATGTTATTCTGCTTTCACAAATGAATACATGGTAAATGATACTCAGCATTTGGGCATATACATTGTTAAAGAATGTGAAGGCCAAGGCCAGAATGGTCAGCAATTGACCAGAGTACTTTGTGGGTAGGGTATTCTGACAGTAATAGATTGCCTTTGTCTGGGTTTTGGATAAAAGTCCAAAACAGCATGAATTGAACAGAGGGTCAAAAGAATTCTGAGGTGTCGATACACTTCCCACACTCCGTTTAGTGAATAGCTAAGCTTGTTTGCAGAGGGATGCTGATTCAACATGCAACATGTGTTCCTGTGACATCATTACTCTTGCTGTCACCATTCTCTTCTAATAAAACGAATGAGAAAAAAAGATGGTTCTTTTCATTGATACCATTTTATGTAGTAGCATGGTGATGCAGAAATAACACAGAATGCAACATTTTTGTGTGGACATAATTACAAGAGGCAGTGATATGTGTGTTTTATTTTGTAGTTTTGAAGTTCTGAAATACAGTTTGATTTCTTTAAGAAATTGTAGGATATTATATGGACTAATGTCATGAAAAAGTTCTTTTATATTGGTTGTTTGGTTGATTGATTTTGTTTAGTGGCAGATCAACACCTCTATGGGTTATTTAATGCTGAAATCTAAATATTTTGTACATAATTTTGTTTTCAGAGTAAAGGTATTTTTTAGATATATAGTTTGTAGATCATAAAATTTATTGTTGGTAATTTTACTATAAAAATGTATTTCTATATTTTTAGTGTTGCATTGATTGTCATTTTGCTATAAAAATGTACTGCTTTTTATTTAGGGGTTCACTATTTGCCCAAATGGGTGCTATACCCTGAGTAAGGGTGTATCTGGAAACAAAAGCAATTAGGAGGTGGTTCCATGATTGTCAAGACTCTAATCTCCTGATTAGAGGCCTTGCTGCTAGATGTAGTTTACTGTCATACCAAGGACAAGAGGAAGGAGTAGAATATTTTTCTGGGAATTTTACACAAAAATAAAATTAGTGAGACGTTTGGTAGAAGAGTTGGAAGGAGGGTATCTTTTTCAAAAGAAGTACAGGGGTATGATTATTACAGAACTGTGAGTATTATTATTATTATGGTGTCTTTTTTCTCTTATGCAAGAAGTATTAAAAAAGAGATTCCCAAATAATTACATTTTAAACATGATCCCATCTTACTCATTTCCAGATTAAATCCTTTCACTTAAAGTTGACTGAAAAATGCAAAATTCTGCTATTCTCATTTTTCAGAAAATCTTTCTGATTGTAGGAATTGACATGTCAGAAGTTGCCTACATTCAATAAGTAATCAGTCCATCATAAATAAATATTTAATCAACCTTTATCCCACAGACAAAATGTTGCTAGCCTCTCATCATTTTTGTGACAAAGGGTTCACTCATCACTCTAAAGAAAATAAATAAAAATATATTATTTATTTTATACCCTTTTCATTGATACTGTTTTATGTAGTAGCATGGTGATGCAGAAATAACACAGAATGCATCAGTTCATTTTATTTCAAAGTTTCAAGTAAAGAAAATCCTACAAAAACTATATCCACACATTAAACTAAAACTTCAACTCATTCTCTTAAACAACCTCATCAGATTGAGACTTTCATACGGATGCCATCCATAGCATCAAACTCATTCAGAAATATCTAAACTGTCAGCTGTGTAGAACCACTTTCATGGATCAATGGTTAAAAATGACACTGAATGAATGAAACCTGTAACTCTCAAGGAGGACCATTCTTCTTTTAACCTTGTAGACTGGCACTACAGAATCACAAAGAATTGTACCAAATAACTGTAACTACATCACTTCAGGACTTTCAACAGCAACAACTAAAATGGATAGCACATGTAACTTGAAGAGAAAATAATGATATAGTCAAAATGTTCATGTTCCACATTGCTTCAAACAAAAAGTTAGGAAGAAAGCCCCCCCCCCCAATCAATATTAGAAAGAGCAATAACTTACTGAATTTGAGAAACCTATTTTCGTGAAAAATTGTTTTAAGAGAAAGATTCTATAAATTTCAGTCAAAAGTAGTATTCACTGCTTAATTAATGAATGTCAAATGTTTCCTTAAGGAAACAACTATAAAAAAAAATAAAATATATAAACAAAAATAAAGATTTCAAATTAAAATAAGGCATTTGCACTTTCCTTTAAAACCTCTCTCTCTCTCTCTCTCTAAACTTATCTTACTATACTTCTCTCAAATAAAGAGAAGGCAACTCTCAAATAAAGAGGAAGAAGAAAAAACTTGGCTGATAAAAACACTCTATGTATGAAGGGTCAGAACCTGTTTATGTGTGAATGAAAAATACCAAAAATTGTGGAGGGTCCATGCATAACTTCCATTATAAAATAACAATGAACAAGAAAGAAACACCAGAAAATAAAATAATTTTCATCAATAAAATAACTGACACAGAGACTTTTGATGTTAGCCAAAACTAATGTTCATGCCAGTCTCAAAGCCTGGACAAAACTGATATAAACTGACACCTCTCAGAAGAGACAGCAAGAGGACAAATGGTAACACTACTGTGTTGGATGAACAAACAGTATAAAAAAAAACATTAAAAAAATATTTAGTGAGCAATACAAATGCAGAAGGATGTATACCTATGTTTCATAGACTACACAGAAGCACTTAAGGTACAACACAGATTTATTTGAACTGCTAGGAAAACTTGATTTATTTAAGAAATATATTAGAATAATCCACAATATATATTGTCAGCAAATGACCTATCTTAAATCCTATAAAACAAGTTTCAGAATCAAATAGAATAAGGAATCGAGTATGAAAATGAAGTAAATTTATTTCTCTTCAAAATTATGAGGGTCAATTGGTAAGTAAGGTCTACAAATCTGTAAAACAAGTTTAGACCAGATATAATAATGAAACAAGTATCAAAATGAAGTAAATTTATTTCTCTTCAAAATTATGATGGCCAATTGATGAGAAGGGTCTCGAATTCTATGAAACAAGTTTTTGTATCAGGTAGAATAATTACAAGGATTGATTAATAAGCATGGTATCTATTGTCATAAAACAAGTTTTAAGACCAGATCGAATAATGATGTCAAATTGGGGCTCTTGGGCTGAGGTGTGCAACAAACTGTGAATTTCAGACTTCTCATTGTTTGTGCTATTTGTTGACAGCAATGCAACCCCACTTTGTCATTATGCAAGAAAATGTTCTCTTTTCAGGTCTTATTCTACAGATGAATTGTTTGGTCACTTATAAGTCTTAATTGCTGCTATACATCTGTAAATTTCAATTGATGTGCCACTTCCTCATACCAAAGGTTTTATCAATGAACAAATCTTTATGCAAAAGATATATATATATATATATATATATATATATATATATATATATGTATGATTAATAAATGCTATGACTCAATGTCATCACACTGGGAACTAAACCTGTTTGAACAAGATTTTATATACCATAGAAAGATATGTTCAGACATGTTCCTACTTCTGCTGTTAGCCATGCTCATAATCATGAAGAGCTTACTTATCAACTGGCATGCCTGTTTTTAATCTAAGAGCAGTAACTAGGTTTAAATCTCTTTAAAAAATTATTTCTCATCAGCAAATGCTATTTTGCTTTTTAAATTTTAACAGGTTTAAATCTGTACCCATATTGTTTTTAAAATTGAACATAATTCTATTCCACAGGTGACAACAGATATTGCCAAGACAAGAAAATCTATCCCTGGGGTGGGGCTAATCAGCCCACCACCCCATCATGATATCTACTCTATTGAAGATCTTGCTGAGGTATCTCATTTATCTATAATAATAAAGTGCATTGTACGTGTGTCTGTCCGTCCATTCATTTTTCAATTTCGGTGAATTATCAGTGATATGAAATATATCTGAATTAACAGTTGTGGAGTAATCCTCGGTTACCTCCCTTGTCAAGAAATGGTATCTGCCTTCACTATATAAAATGGATCGTGAATGAGGAAGGAAGAATTCAAATTGTATATGATGATGACTTTGGACATCAAAACAAACAGTTAACGACTTCATCTTCTCTTCTTTCCCCCTCCTGTAATTTAATATACTTAAATTACACCACAACAAGTAGTAACTACTGTCATTACATGCAAAAAAAAATTAAATAACTCATTTAAAGTTAAGTGTATATGCCTTAGTATGTGTGTATGCACAAGGGTATTTGTGGCTCCATGTGTGCACATATGTATGTATGCAAGAGTGTGTTGGAAGGGTATGATGCATAAATGAGTACCCAAAAGTTATGTTTACCTATATGGGCAGATTTAGTGAAATGTGTGTGAGCAAAAAATTTTTCACCACTCCCTCATATACAGCATGTCCAAAAAGTTTGTGTGCACTTTAAAAAATTTATAACTTTTTGTATTTGCATCCCCAAAATTTGTAAAAAAACTTTTTTGATGCACCCTGTGGATGTATATGTATATATTATATTTTATGGGTGTGTGGCTGAATGGTTAGAATGTTTGCTTTCTGACCATGAGACCCATGTTGACTTGTCAAGAAGGAGACTTCCTGATGTTATCAGTCTGGAGGGCAATGATCCCAGCATGCGTCACCTTGGAAAGTGCCTGAAAACCATACCACAGGTTGACTCAAGCCTTGTGAGTGAATTTGGGCAGATAGAACATTTGTGCTAGCACAAAGTCACAAGTCATTGTGACTGAGTTTGAGTGTGCAGGCCTTGTCCAGATTGATCACGTTAGCTAACACACTCTCTTCCAGAAACTGTAACTAAAGTCTGCTCAGAATAGTTGCAGTATAAACCACATGTGGGCTTTGTGGGTGTTGAATAAACACAAATGTGCTTGAGCAAGTGTCTGAATTAGGGATTGGCTAGCCACTCTAGTAGATGGGTATCCTTGATTACGACTGGCCAGCTATATATATATATATATATATATATATATATATATATATATATATATATATATAAACGTATCCAAAGTCAAAAGAATGGCATTTGATTGACTACATTCTAACTAAAATGAACCATTGACATATGACATTCATCATACTCTCGGTTCTTCCATAGCACATTCTGTTCATCTGATCATTTTCTGTTGACCTTTCAGGTGAGGTATAATGCAAAATTTTTTTAAATGCATATATGTTCAATCTCTTGATACTGAAAGAAAATCTAGGTTAGCCTAAATATTTGATATGCAGCTTGAGAAGGTTGAAATTTCAAGGAATATTCAAGATTCATGGAAAAATCTTACAAATCATGAAAATCTCTATTTGGCATCACTTTAAATACTTTGTCTGCCAAAGTGTAAGCATCAAAATTGATTTTAATGAAAACAAATACAGAAATATATTTTTGACGAATGAAAATAACACACATACACACCAAATGCGATGAATAAATTGTCATCTAAATTACACAAAAATGAAAATAACACTGACATCTCATTTTAACAGATATATTTACCAAAATTACACAAAAATATCTTGTTATACTAAAGAGTAAATTTATTCACTATAATCGCCATTGGCTTCAACCACGGCCTCCAGATGACTTCAGAATCTCCTGCAACTCTTCTGTACAGTCTCCTTGTTTAAGTTGGTGAATGCTGCCATAATCCTTGCTTTCAGTTCATCTTTGGTGTTACAAGGAGTTTTGTTGGTCTCTCACTCAACTATGCCCCAAACATAATAATCAAGTGGGTTGCAGTCTTGGGAGTTAGGTGGCTAGATATGTTAAGTGGTGATGTGGTCAGGTTCTTGTATTTGTGTAGCATGGTGCAGAGTTATGTTGCCGGACACAGGGTCTTCCAGCATCCAGCCTCTTGACCCTGGGCAGCACTACTTCCCCAAGACACTTGATGTAGGCCTCGGTATTGAGTCTGAGGCCACTGCCAACAAATTTGGGAGTTCTTTTCTTATCAGAATGATCAGTGAAAGTTTTCTGAGCTGCTGTGCCTTTATAATCACCATTAGACTCATCAGACTCTTTCCAAATCTTCTGCACCCTTTTCAAATTGACACTCAAACACTCTGAAATGTTTGTATTGCAGCTTCCAGTGTGAATTCCAAGCAATACAGCATGCTGTTCTCAAATTTCTGGCAGAGTGAATTGCATCATGGTGCTGTTTCTCACAAATGGTATCCAATTGAGCCTGCTCTACAGTGCTATCAACAAAATCAAAAACAATGCACATTTATATTTAAAAATATAAAATGACGACAATTTACCCATCGTACCGTGTGTGTATGTATGTATGTATGTATGTAAGAAATCTAAATTTAGTTATGTTTAAAAAAAATTAAGTTTAAAAATTTTGAAGGCAGAGACCAATTTTTTTTTTTTTTTTTTTTTTTTGCTTTTGTAGCATTCACATCTGGATGACAGGTTTTGATATGGAGTTAATCAGAAAGAAATCTAATTTGAAGTAGACTAAAATAGAATTTTTCTTCTACACTGGTCATCACCCGGGGCAAGATAGCCCATTCCACCCTACTATTTAATCCATACCAGGAAGAGAATAAGAGGATTCATACCTCTTTTGTCAAGAGCATTAGTGTGAAATTAAATGCAACTGACTAATCTGGTATTTAATCTTGGCTCTTTAATTTCACTTTCCTCATCGTTATATGGTAACTACACATCTGCTATACAGTTGCCAAAATTTGGGAGACTCACATTAAAATATTATGCTTTGGAAAACTTGTCTTAAATCGGAGAAATTGTGATTTAGACCCTAAAAATAAATAGCAAATATCAATTTAAACAATTATCAACTTTATAATCACATTTTTTGTTGTTGTTTTTTATTTATTTATTTTTATTTTTCTAAGAGCTTTTAATATATTTCTTCTGTCTATGATTTTCAGCTCATCTATGATTTAAAATGTGCCAATCCGAATGCCTACATCAGTGTGAAATTGGTGTCTGAAGTGGGTGTAGGCGTCATTGCAGCAGGAGTAGCAAAGGTAAAAAAAAAATGAATCCAGTTATTTTGCTGTTAATTTTATTCTCTTCTGATATTCTGGTTAAAAAGAAAATTTACCATTTTATGACTTTGTAAACAAATTTTGAAGATGGCAAATTTCAACTCATTATGAAATGCCTAAAGAAAAGTTGGTTAATTTTACAAATATTTAAACAGAAAATTAATTTTCTTTACTTTCAAAAAATAAGGAGGGAAATTATGACTAAATTTTCAACTTTTCTACTGACTTGTATCTTATTAATTTGGTTATTTACAGAAAATGCCTTCCAACTTTGAAATGTTTGTGAGCATTTAAACATTTCATTTAGAGGCTATAAAAATACTCAACATAATTATCATGCTTTGAAGCTGATTGAATATATTTTCTGAAAAACTTATATTAAGGAATTTTCATTTGCATAGACACAAAAATATTCAACAATAATAAAATGTGTAGAAACTTGTAATAAAGCAGTTGTTAAAATGCTTCAGTTAAAATGACACAATGAAATGTTTTAAAACAAAATAAAAAAATAATAATGAAAATCATTTATCTAAAATGCTCCAATAATAAAATTATGTAAAACTATAAGTAAAATAATAGATTTATCTAAGAAGCAACAATTACAAGATGGAAGAAAAACTAACAATGAAAAAAAAAAGTTTTGTCTAAAAAGTGATAATGACTGATTTTGTTTTTTATGGTTTATCAACTCTTTGCTTAAATCCAGAAAATATTTTTAGGTGAAAAGAATTTTTTTTTTTTTTTAATAATAATGATTTTAGTGATACAAATCTTACTAATTAACCAATAGCTGGAGGAAGAAGTGGATTTATGCCTTTCCCAATTCTATTTGCACATAACTGAATATAAGAACCCCAACAAGAATTGGAACTTGGCTTTCCAATTAATTCCAAGCTTTTTTCATCACTCGCACGTCTAAGCTTATAGCACTTGGTATTTCCAAGCAGTCACCCATCTAGGTACTGACTAGGCTCAACGTTGCTTCCCTTTGGTGATCATACCGGAACCAATGTTTCAACATGTGGCTGTAAGCCTTATTTACATTAGGACTAATGTCTGCATCTTCATTGTTATTATCACAATGTTTCAACCTAGGTACCCTTCTGCCTTCATCAGGTGTTTGTCTATTCAGGTGACCTTCAGAGGATTTTGAACAGAAGCCATTGTTTAATCCATCTATTTTGTTCTCATTCTGCTGTCCATGCTTAGGGATATCTCATCTTTTCCTCTTTTTGAAATAATTTTGGCTTAGTGATATGTCTTAATAATTAACCCATAGCTTGTGGGAGAAGAGATGGATTCATACCTTTCCTAAGGGAATTTACATATAAGGGAATATAATACACCCAATGGAAATTGGAACCTTCTGATTAACAATTTCAAGCCATTATCCATTACACTACCCACACATCCAAGCACTTGGTATTCCCAAGCTGTTTTCCCTCTAGGTACTGACCAGGCCTGATGTTGCTTAACTTGGGTGATCATACAGGAACCAGTGTTTCAATGTGATGTGGCCATAAGTCAATAAGTAGATAGAATAAAACTAGCTAAAAAAAAAAAAAAATAAGAGTGAAAATACTTCATCTAAAGAAAAATTAGACTAATAAAATATAAGATTCAAATTTTCTCAGTTCAAAGACAGACTAACTTTTGCTTTGTGACAAGAAATTTATATAGAATATCCCTCTTCTTTTAGTTTGTTTTATTTTTTTTATTTATTTTTTTTTTTTTTCAAACAATTCAGTAAATAAAGCAAGGATTTATTTCACATATTCCACAAATATTATAAATTTTCAGGGAAAAGCAGAGCACATCACAATCTCTGGTCATGACGGAGGTACTGGAGCCAGTAGTTGGACAGGAATCAAATACGCTGGACTACCATGGGAATTAGGAATTTCAGAGACTCATCAAACACTTGTCTTGAATGATCTCCGGTCAAGAGTGAAGCTACAAGCTGATGGACAGATAAGAACAGGTCAGTACTGGTCAAAATTTCACTTTGCATACATTTGTCAATACATCCAGATCGGCGACAGCAGAACACCTAATAAGTAATCAGATTTATGCCTCATCTTTTTCTCGGTCATCAGCAGGACTCATTAAAACTACTATTGGAAAATGATTGTGACTCTGTATATTAGATCCAAGCAACCTTCCCTCTGTAAGCAGAAGGAATTGGTTGTGGGGTCTTAATGTAATGTGTCTGGGATTCATAGTGCCAGATCTTTGGTAATGTAGCTGGGAGGAATGATGTGATTTTACAATTTTTTTTTATTTTTTCACTTAAAGTTTGTTGATCAGAAAACATTTCTCAATTTTCAAAATTGGATATGGGATTTATGCTTTCATTTGAGATTTTAAAATGAATTCTTAATAGTCAATGAATGTTTTACCTCTGCCAAGGAATATTATATATGTACTTATGTTTGTCTGTTCATGCAATATCTCTAGGCTTTCAATGAATTTCAAAAACATTTTAGAGAAAGGTGGCCCATTGAGAATGGATCAAATCTGAGAGAATATCTACAATATTTTTTTTTTTTTTTTTTTTTTTTTTTTTTTTTTTGATATATACTAAGATAAGAGGCACTCCTTAAATAGACTGGTCAACTTGTAAAAAAAAAAATTGGGGGGTGGGGAACAATTTTTGTACATTAGCATTCATTAGACCTTCATTTGGAGATTAGCATTCATTAGACCATCCTCAAGCTATGACATTTGTTAAAAGTGAAAAATACTGATTTTCATTGATTTAGGAGGTTCCTTTTTATAATATGAATAGTATTAAATCAATCCCTAAATTTTACAGAGTTATTGGACCTAGCTTTGATTTACAAATGTCAAGTTTAAAACATACATTGATATCTGTATATTTTTAATTTATTTTTATTAATTTTCTGGATTTTTTATCTTTTTTCTTTTCCCTTGTTTTTTTTTTTTTTTTTTTTTTTTTTTTTTTTTGTGTGTGGAGATTTTTCAGAAACACCAGCACAAAACTTGGATAATTATTTATCTTAAATGACAAATAAATGGATATATACTTTTAATTTAGGTAAATGTTCATTTTTTAATTAAAAATATATATATTCATTTATTCCTTAATTGAAATAAATATTTTTGTAGAAGAAAAAAAAATAAGAGGCTGTTTTCATATGCAAAACATTTAAGTCCTGATAACTCTGTAAAACAGGGATCGATTTTCACAGTGTCAATATTATGAACAGTAACACATTTCTAAAAATAAATCAATATTTTTCAATTCTAACAAAGACTAATAACAAAAATTGTTTCTAAAGAAATTTTTTGCTATTTTATATCGGTGGATCAGTCTACTTAAATAGTGTGAATAAGTTTGAATTATTAGGTTGAGTCATAAATAATTTCCTTTTTCGTTTATCAACTTCATTCTTCAAAAAAATAAACCACAATTCCATTTTATTCAATTAAATATTTCCTATTATTTACAATGACATGTTGACACTTCTCATCCAGCTCTTTGATACATTCTTTGTAAAATTTCACAGGTTTTGATGTGGAAAATTTTTGGTGAACTATTAAATTTGGTTTTCATTAGAGAAGGTTATCCCTATCAAGGCATTTTTCAATGATCAAAACAGTAATGTTCAGGTGACTATGGCAGGTGGGGTGAAACACAGTTCCAATTATTTTTTCCTTTGTTATTCTTGCTGTGTGTTACATTGCATTATCATGGGGGAGAACAATTTTCCCTACTAATGAATGCAGGGAGATTTTGGCCAAACTTTTATGGACATGTTGCAAACTGCTGGATGTATAAATGTGCATTTAGTGCTTCATTGTGTCTTAAGAATTTAAATGAATAAATACTCTGATGATCCCAACACATGCAAAGCATTACATTTCTTCCATGGAGCTCAGGTTTTACGTGTCATTTGTGACGATTTATTGTCAATCTTCCTTTTGCATTGAACATTGTCTTTTGTAACCCATTTTACTTGACCCGTTATATATTTAATGAACAATTAGTCAAGAATGATACATTTGTTATTAGAAATGGTCTCCCAAAACAGAAATTAAGACTCAGCCTAATATAATTACCAAGATTTAATGAACAATTAGTCAGGATGATACAGTTTTCATTACAATTGGTTTCCTAAAATAGAAATTACTTATGACTCAACGTACTATAATTACCAAGATTTAAAGAACAGTTAGCTTGATAAATGACAAATGTATCAACCTAACTATTTTAAATAACTTAAAAGTACTTTTACTTTTATACATTTAATCTTTCCACTTCATGTCAGTGGAAAACTTTAGCCTAAGAAGCAGTTAGTGTTCCATTGTATTTTAAGAGCTCTAAGTTAATAATACTCCTGACAAGCCCACCACACTCAACATCGCCTTTACTTCTATGGAACTCGGCTTATGTGGTTGGGTGTTGAGATTTATCATTGTTAATCCACTGTTTTCTGCTGAACATTGCTGTATGCAACCCATTTTTCATCACCTGCTATGATATATTTAAGGAATAGTTTGGTTTTCCAAAACAGAAATTATGATTCAATTTAATATATGTTAGGACAGCAGCTTGAAATGAGAGATCAGAAAGTGGAGTTCAAATTCCAATTGGGTTCACTCACATGAAAGTGATGAATCCATCTCTTCGCTTCTCCCCCTCCCTCTCAGGTGTGGATTAAATAAAACTTGCACCTGAAAAAATCATTATCTCAAAATTCTTAAAAAAAGAGAATTATTCTTATGACCCAAAATATGTTTCATGTTTTAAATAAACCACAAAGGGTTGATTAAAAAAAAAAAATGAATCAACCAATTAATCAATAATATATGTAAAATTTGAAACTTATGATTATACATCCTTTCAAGTCAGTGTTATCCACACACTCACTTGAACAGAATATGAAATTTTTAAGCATATCACCTCAAGTAAGGCAGGAGTGCCACTAGCACGCAAGGGGTTACAGAGAGTGAGAGCAAGAGTGGAGAGGGGTGTTTGGGGAAAGGATAAAGAGAAGGACGGGGATCAAGATCAAGGCATCAGAAAATGTCAATTGGCATTACATTACACATTTGAATATTTGAAGATTATAACTATCAGGGAAGCAAGTAAGAGGAAGGGAGTTCCACTGTCAGGAAGTGAGAAATAAGAAGCTGTTGGAGTAGAAGAGATGGCTACACTTAACCGTTTTGACAGTGAAAGGGTGGGACAGGAGAGGCCAACCTAGTATCACACTTAAATTCATACAGTTTGGAAACAAGTGAAAGTAGCTCGTCAAAGCAGTTGCCATGAAAATACTTGTAGAAAAGACAGTGAAGCAGCAACACATCTGTGAGAAAGTGACTGTAGATGAGATGCCAGATCAGGACCTATCACATTGCATATTCTCTCTGGATTTTGTCAAGGACCTTGAGATGAACAACGGGGGTACCAGCCTATATATGGCAGCAGTATTCAATGTAAGGACAAATAAGGTTGAATTCAAAGTGGGAGTCTATGCATACATATTCAAGAGACAAAAATGCTATTACCTTTCACACATTCCCTTTTGGGAATGTCCTAGCTCCCTCTCAAAGGGGAGATATTGCCAAGTGGCTTTAAAGCTTATTGATTTTCTGTTTAATAATAGTAAGAACTGTGACTTTTTCTTTGTATTCAGAAAAAGAATTTTTACCTTTTTTTTTTTTTTTCCCATTCAGTAAGAAATGTGACCTTTCCATTTGGTAACTAAGAAATGTGACCTTTGTATTCAGAAAAAGAATCTTGACCTTTTTTTTTTCTATTCAGTAAGAAAGGTGACCTTTTACTTTCTATTTGGTAACAGTAAGAAATGTGACCTTTTTTTGTTTATGGTACAAGATTTACAGCTTTTCTTTCTTTTTCAGGCCGAGATGTTGTCATGGCTGCACTGCTTGGTGCTGATGAAATTGGATTCAGCACAGCCCCACTGATTGTCTTGGGATGCACACTAATGAGAAAATGTCACTTGAACACCTGCCCTGTTGGCATTGCTACACAGGTACATTTTAACTTGAAGGATTTCACTGTTATTTGACAATGTGCTTTACTTCAGGATATATATGATCATGACACTCTACAGCTTTCTATCCTTATTAACCATAAGCAATATTCATCTCTCTACCATCTTACATTCTGCAGTTTATTAATTTTCTGCATATTTTAGTATATTTTCGTAATCCTTCCAGTGGGTTTTTAGATAATTTGGTGGCGCCCATCTCCTCTCCAAGATTTTCATAATATATCATTTTTATATAATATATAGTTTCTTTTATATTATACAACATTAATATGTATGTTTTCATATTTATATTTTCATAATAGTACAGAATGTGATGCTTAAATTTCATCTAAATTAAGCAAAAAATAACCCTAACATCTCATTTTAACAAATATATTAACCAAAATTACTCAAAAATATCTTGAAATATTAGAGTAAATTTATTCAATAAAATTGCTATTGGCTCCAACCACAGCTTAAAAACAACTTCAGAACCACTCTACTAGAAACATTTTTGCATCAGTTTTTTTTCTATATTTGAATGAACTGCTTCACTTATGATCACAGAATGTTTCTATGTTTCTGGTATATCTCGTATGTAAATGAATCGGAATATGTCACGAAAAGTATATTTTACTTTTTGTTAGGATCTTTTGTAAACGTTTCTCCCCAAGCAAGGCGGGAAGCCACAAGCACGCAAGGGGTTACAGAGAGTTGGAGCTAGAGCAAATAGGAGTGATAGAAGAAAGGATGAAGAGAAGGATATGGGATAGATCAAGGCATCTGGAGACATCAATTGACATTACATTTGAATAATTGAAGATTATAGCTATCAGGGAAACAGGAAAAGGGAAGGGAGTTCCACAGGCAAGAGGTGCGAGACATGGAACTATTGGAGTAGAAGGGATGACTACATTTAAGAGTTTCAATAGTGAAAGTGTGAGAGCAAGATACCAACCTAGTATAACACTTAAATTTATGAAACCTGGGAACCAGCGAAAGCAGCTCCTCAGAGCAGTTACCATGAAAGTATTTGTAAAAAAGACAGAGGGAGGTGACGGCACGTCTGTGAAGTAAAAGTGAAAAATCAATTGAATTAAAAGCATTTTAATTAATAAATTAATAGCATTTTTGTTTGATTATTCATCCTTTTAATTTCACTTTTTATTTCATGCTAGGATCCTGTGTTAAGGAAAAAATTTGCAGGCAAACCAGAACATGTTGTCAACTATGCTTTCCATGTTGCCGAAGAGGTAAGTCTTTCTTTACACTCCAGTCTTCTTCTCACACCATCTTCATTCACAGGGATTGGTTTGAATTCTGGCATGATCTCAGGTAAGCCCTTGCAAAGATTGGTTTACTTTCAATTGAGTAAAGATTTTATTTGTTAAAATGTTTTAACTGAGGAGTCATTATGTTGCTTCTCTTCAAAGCAAATTTTTTTTTTTTTTTTTTTTTTTTTTTTCAAACTGATCTGACAGTAAAAAATCTTAACTCAAAAAATCTTCTAAATTTCCTTGCTATTTTCAGTTGCACTAACTGAATGCAGAATAGGCTGCCTGAGAGATAGTTTCACCCAACACCACGAGATGTTGCAAAACCAAAACGTTTGTAGTGAATCCCAATAAAAAAAAAATTTAAAAATAAAATATATAAGCAAAAATAAAAAAGAATTCAAATTAAAATAAGGCATTTGCACTTTCCTTTAAAACACTTATCTTTTTCTTTCTCTCTAAACTTCTCTTCCTATACTTCTCTCAAATAAAGAAGTAGAAAAGACTTATCCCTGCTAAAAAATGTCAGAAGTTTGCGGAACAGAGCCTACTAATTTATGACTAAAAACAATTGGAGAGGCTCCATGCATAAAAAAAAAATGAAAAAGGATCGCCAGAAAATAAAATAATTTTGACCAATCAAAAAAATCTGACACAATGACTTGATGTTAGCTGAAACCAATGTTCATGCCAGAGTCTCAGAGCCTGGTCAAAATGATATAAGATGTATTTAATATTGGTTTTATATTCTATAGATTTAATTATCACTGTCATTCTTAACATATTTAATATATTTCTCATATTCCTTTATTGTTCAAAGCATACTGACAGCAAGCCATCTTAAATATTCAAGATTTTTTTGACTATTCTGCCTATTTTCAGTAGCACTCTAGTTTGTATCTCCCTTTTACCTGAATGCATATATTTCTACTAATTATTGCATGTGCATCATTAATAACAAGGAAAATCTATATAAATTAAAACCTGATAAAACAAATTTTATTCACTTAAATTGTAACACATATATCATAAAAACATATTTTACAATTTCAAACCAAGTAACTTAATTTTATTAAATATTATTAATGAAACAGAATATTCCAACTAAGAAAACAAAACCGAATTTAGTCAGATTATAATCTAAATAAAAAGATAAAATTTACACATTTAAAACTTGTATGAAATTAGGTTGCCAAGTTTCATATTTTGAACATCTATAATTAAGTTAAATTTTACCTTCCAACTGACATTTGCAAATGAAAAATATTTTTACACATCAAGTCATGCGTTTATGCTATATTCCATGCTAATAGGAATATATACTTGAAAAACACAGTGGATAAAATAAGTAAAGGTTTATTGTAAAAACCAATACAATAAGAATAAAGGTAATGAACACGACAGAGTCTTAATTTTTATTGTCAAAAACTTCAAAACAGTAGATTTTATCAAAATTTGGGCATTACTTTAGAGTTCAGCATATACATTTACATGAAAATATGATGATTTGGGAAAGTTATAATTTTCTCTGTAGGGCTTAAAAAGCAAATTTACCAGAATCTCTTATTTCAAATTTTTTCTTTCCCCTTCACAAAAAAAATGGGTTTTTTGTTTGAAAAAAAAAAAAAAAGCAAAACACACACATATATATATATATATATATATATATATATGTGAAAAGTGTATATAAATAAATATATATATGTATAATTATTTATATATTATATGCGCGGTACTTATTAGAAAGCGCTCAATATCAGAGATAGAGCTAACATATTTGGTTGGATAGATGTGAGTTTGTGATCCTGGGTTTCACGCTTTAGCGATCATCAGACAAACTAGCATTTTTATCTGTAAATCTTCTTCCTTAAAATTTTCTTTTACAAAACCTTGTCCATTCCTCACTTTTCAATTTATAAAGTTAAAAAAAAGCCACATTAAAATTAAACTGTATTATATTCCCATTTTGTGTTTGTAGATGTAATATTGTTGTTTTATTCCATGTTATTTAATATCCTGATTATATTTCAGATTTAATATCACTATCATAGTCCATATATTTAAAATTATTCAAATAAATTAATCTGACAATTATTACTCATCTCAAAAATCAAAACTAAATAAATTTACTTTATTTTGTCAACTGTTTCATTATTCTAATTGTCTAAAAGTTGTTTTACACGATTGGAGACCTTACTTATCAATTAACCCTCATAATTTTGAAGAGAAATAAATTTAATTATGATACCAGTTTCATTATTCTATCTGGACTAAACTTGTTTTATAGGATTGAAGACCTTACTTATCAATCAACCCTCATAATTCTTAATCAAATGAATAGCTTCAAACAAGTCAGCAAATCATTAAGAAATATTTCTATTTTTGTTTTTTTTTGTTTTTTTTGTCACCTGATCAAGATTTTGAATTAGAAAAAAAATAAAAACTCATTAAGGCTATTCAGATATTTACATTCTTCTTTTAATTTCACAGGTGAGAGAAATAATGGCAAAACTTGGGTTCCGGACTTTCCAAGAAATGATCGGTCGTACTGACAAGCTGGAATTTAATCCCGACCCTTCCAATTACAAGGCTAAGATGTTGGATTTTAAACTGATTCTCACAAATGCTCAAGAGATCAACCCAGAAGCCAATATTGTTGGGAGAGCTGTCGCACAGAATTTTGAATTTGAAAAACGATTGGTATGTAAGACATCAGAGATTGTTGTTTGGTATTTTACAAGCATTAACCAGTTTGAAATTATTTTCTTTTCCATTGTTAAGACAGTCCACATGTCCATATTTGAGACAAGAAAGATGCAAATGGTCAGCTGCAGGTTTGCTCTATATGAAGGAAAAGAGTGTAAGGGCAAGCTTTGTTGGCCACATCTGTTTAAAGAGAAACTGATAAAGGACACTTAACATCAAGAAAAAGTTGAAATTTCTAGGGCACATAATGAGGAAAGAGGGCTTGAAAAAATTTGACACCCATTAGAAACCATGTAAATATACTTCCAACCAGATAAAATGACAAAATAAGTCAAATTCTGGGAAGTGGTTCAGTTGAAGCATTTATCAACACCCTCTCATATAAAAAAAAAAAAATTCTATCATTTGGTCAGATTGTTGTGGGGGAGGGATGCTTGTGTGTTTAGGTATATATTTAGTCATCATTATGTTGCAGTAATCAACACTTTGAAGAGTAAATATTTATGGGCTCCTGGAAATTTATCCCACAAACAATACTGGTGGACTAAATGTGAGTCCAAGTAAAAATGAATAAAACTAAACAATAAATATAAAACGAACAACAATACATGTATTAACATGAGAAATTGCATGTGATGAAAGGAAAAACACATTTAAAAATAGATGTATGTATGTGTGTGTATGCACATAACGAGCATATGTGAGATAGTACAGAAGTCAAGAGAGAAAACCATGAAAATGAATGTGCCCCAGTAGGGAACACTTGTGAATAAATCTTAAAACTAGAGTTGAAAAGCTCTAAAAGAGGCTAGGGAGAGAAATGCGCAACATTTCATAGGCTTAAAGAGCGTGACCTAGCAACAGTTTTAGGCAAAGTCAAGTGGGATAAGCTACAAGATTTTGAGAAGTGGGTCAGATCAAGGACTTTTCAACCCTGTGCATGAAGCACAAATTCAAAAGAATACCTTAATATACTGATATACTATATATGTGTGTGTGTGCATGTGAAAGAGGGAGAATTTGTATGAAAGTTTTTTAGCTAAGTTTGTAATTATGAAATACCATGCCTTTTATCACAGGACAATATAGTCATTGAGGAAGCCATAGATGTCATTGAAGGCCGAGCCAAAAAGAGAATTATTGACTTGAAGATAACAAATGAAGATCGTACATTTGGAAGTACACTAAGCTACCATATTTCCAGGTGAGATATTCATATTTATGTTTACCTATTTGCTGCTTTATTTGGTCCTAAAATTTTCCTCATTTTTACAAATTCTTAGTATTTCTCAATCAATGGTGATGACTATTTTATTATTATTTCATTCATTTGCAAATATTACATAAAACTGTGACGTCAAAGTAAATACAGTTTAATCTTTTATGTCTACAAGCATGTGTCTTATATCCTGCCTGACTTAGTACTTCACATTTAATGGAGAAGATTAATTTACTATTTCATTCATTTGCAAATATTATGTAAATCTTTGACATTCAAATAAATGCAGTTTCATAATTTACATCTACTACTACTATTACCCACTGACACAATCTTATTTGTACTTATAATCGACTCTCCCATTGGTTTTGATGTAAGAGGATCTGACAACTTAACCAATTGATTCAGTTGTGAATTTTGTGCAATAAAGTGGCACTAAAGACCAAGTCATTTGCAAAGGAGGCCACATATGGAACAAGCGTGAGGATTGTGGATGGAGGTCACTTAGATTAGCTGACCTTTTAGATCTTGCTCTCACTTCTTGACAATTCAGATTAGCAATTTGAAAAACGCTGAGTCCACTAAAACATGTTGATCTCCACTCTACCCACTCCAAGGCTAAGTGCTCAAGTGTCATGAAGTATATTGACAGCTAACAATGTGTACTTATATATAAAATCTACTATATTCTAATGTGTGTCTTTCCAATATAGGAGATACCATGAGGTTGGACTTCCAGAAAACAGCATTGTCATCCAACTCAGGGGATCTGGAGGTCAGAGCATGGGAGCGTTCCTGGCAAGAGGAGTCCACATTTATTTGGAGGGAGATGCCAATGATTATGTTGGCAAAGTAAGTAATTGGAATTGATTACTGTTCAATCCTTTCAGGTTTTTTGTTCTTTTGATTTACAAATTTTTATTTCTCCGAATTATAACACAAGTCATTTTTAATGCAGCAATTAGAAAGCTCCAAACAATTTGCAAGTATAGTGCATTCAGTCCTCTCCAAAATGCTCAACAATTGTGACCTAGTATCAGATTTAACTAAAATGTTTATAACCTTTCACAAACACAAACTCTGTACAACCAGTAAATATATTGGAATACTTTTTTTATGTAAAGCTCTACATATTGTATCTTTATATAATACTTATAGTAAAAGATTGCATTTTCACAAATATATCTGACCAGATTAATTGAAGAGGATGATGCTCTCAAGTTAATCAGCCTTAATATTCAATATCACTATTTACATTCACACTATTGTCTTTACTTTTTTTTATCGATGTTTTGACCATTGTATCCTCTGGCCTTCATCAGGTGTATATCCTGGTAACATACTGGGAATTTTGAACTGAACTCTTTATTTAATCTACTGGGGTTTGGTAACAAAGAAAAGAATACTGAACTGTTACATGACATCTGTCCTTCTTTACAGCAGGGAATGTTGGATGATTTCTTCAAAGATGAAGAAGACACAAGGTGACAGATGTGGTTCTACAAAAGGATGCTAAGGATGTCATGGGCCAAGCGTGTGAGCAACGATGAGGTCTTAGAGAGGTTGCAAACAAGGAAAAGGTTTATACTTAATATCAGGAAGAGGCAGCTGAAGTTTCTGGGACACATAATGAGGAAGGAGGGCCTGATGCTCACAGGTCGAATAGAGGGAGGGCCTGATGCTCACAGGTCGAATAGAGGGAAAGAGAGACAAGGGAAAACAATGCATGACATACCTGGCAGACTTAGGCAGGTGGATGACAGAACATGGTTTGGGGAGGAAGCAGAGGGAAGGAACTTGTTGAGAGCTGCAAGGAATAGAGGAGGTGGAGAGCCATGATCGCCTACATCCTGAAAGGACATGGCACATAAAAAGAAAGAAGGAGTAGACTGTTCTCATTCTAGTGCCCATGCCAAGGAATATCTTGTTTATTTCTTATTTTTAGTACTGTTCACTTATTGCTCATCCTGTTTCCACTCACTGCCTGGCCCTGGGAATGAACTCACTATTATGTTGATTAAATACACAAACAAATGCTTTAATCCACTGAGCTATTGTCTGGGGTGAACTTGGAACTTTAAACCTAAATTACCTGCTGATAAATACTGCTGTAGCTGTGTGTCATACTTGTCAAAATTAATATCAATCATTAATAATAAAATTATATGTTCAGTTGTCTTTACACTAGGTTTTGTAAAACTACATTCACTATTCAGGAGACTTGATTTCAAGTTTAAAGTCTACTTAAGAATGGATGTAGTTCAATGAAACTCAGACAAGATAACATAATTTTAGTTATAATGATGCTTTTATATATTTAAATATAAAATATGGCAAAATATGTAGAGGATATATTAGAATATAAAATATGACAAAATATTTATGTATGGGATATATTAAAAAATAAAATATAAAACAGAATATAAAATGGCAAAAAATTATTAAAAAATGAGCATAATAAAATATAAAAATAGAATATAATTGTATTAAATAAAATAAAGCATATTCGGATAAAATATATTAAAATAAAAGATTAAGATAAAATATAGAATATTAACATTTATTATAAAAAAAATATATTAAAAATAACAAATATAAACTACTTTCAATGACATGGTTTTACTTTAGAAATGAAAGAGAGGAAAAATATATTCAGTTTTAATCGTACATGCTGACTTAAGACAAAACATAAATATTGATGTAACAATTATTTCTGTTTTATTTACCTCCTTTCAGGGTCTCTCAGGTGGAGAAATTGTCATTTATCCACCACTCACAGTATCAGAGGAATTCAAATCTGAAAATAACATCATCGTTGGAAATGTTGTTCTTTATGGCGCCACTTCCGGCAAAGCATTTTTCCGAGGTCAAGCTGCAGAAAGATTTTGTGTTCGAAATTCAGGCGCTGTAGCAGTTTGTGAAGTAAGACATTTAATATTGTTACTTATGTATCTTTCTCTTGTATTAAACATTGCCACACCTTCTCTTTCACTTTCTACTATCAATGTTCTTTTCCTCTGTTTCTCCTTATTTTATTATATGAACATTTTTTTTTTTTATTCCCACTCTAACTTTACTCTGTCTTTTTGTTTCCTTCCTTCTTTCTTTTAGTCTGATTCTTCTCACTCATTCAGTCTACATTATCTCCCTTTCTCCTCTCTCTCTATCCTTCCTCTATCTCTTTCATTTCCAATCTGTGTATTCTTAATTACTCTCCTCTCTATATATATGATCCTTTCTCTCTGTTTATCTACCTTTTACATATATATCTATGTATGTATATTTTTTGTTTTGATCATTTTGCCCCAAGCAAGGTAATAAAGCCACTAAGACACGGAGGGGGGGGGGTTACTGAGTGTGAGAATATGAAGGAAAAAAACATTAAGGAGAGAGAACAATGAAAGAACAGGAATGAAGACAGAATATAACAACTGACATGGGATTCAGATTTTTGACTGCAAAGCAAGAAGCCTGAAGAGTTCCACAGATGAGAAGTGTGATAGAATAAACTGTTAACATAGAACTTATGGCTTCATCTAGCCATTGCAACTGTAAAACAATGGGACCTTGCTGCCAATCTAGTACTGCACTTAAATTCATAAAGTCTAGGTACTATAAAGAAAAGTTAATCAAAACAATTACCATGAAAATATTTACAGAAAATATTTATATGTGCATATATATTATGAATAGATGTGTATGGATGCATGTTTATTTGTGTATGTATTTACATTTAATATGTATGTAGTTGTGTATATGTTAATATGTAGATATAAATTGTAATAGAATATGTAAATGTGGATGTATATCAGTCAGTTATGTGCCATTTATGTTATACACTTAGGCGATCATATATCTTTCGATACATGACTGACGAGGCTGATTTTTTCCCCCACAGTGGGTTGCAATTTCTTTCTGCAGTAAACCAGTTGCCATCTAAGGTCTGGTCTGTCCTGTTATTTACCCATAGCTGGGGGGAGAAGATACTTACTTTTCCCAAGTAAGTAAATGTAATGGATTCGAATGGAATTTGAACTCGGCTTTCTGATTCCTCAATCCAAACTGCTATCCATCACTCCACCATGCCTCCTCTTTGCGTAATTAGGCAGCAAACCTTCTTTTATACATCTTTTATTAAAGATGACTGACAAGGTACTGCGATTAAGCTTTTTTATTTAATTTTTCTTGTGTTGATAGAAGTGTTTTCATTTCTGGATCTAAAGTGTACAAAAACTGTCCAAATGTTCTGCATTTCTGAGCATTTTCAGTTATACTTTAAGCCATTATCAAGGATGGTTTTATTTTTGCTTTTTAACAGAATGTATGGCTTATGTATGTATCTAGTGTTATAGGGATGTTTTATTTTCCAAACACGGTCAGCACATTGTGGCCATGTTCATATTTGTATATGTGAATGATATTTGAAAATATATATTAGCTATGTATATTTTTTTATCTAAATTATATTTGTTTGTATTTGAATGCATGTAAGTGCATGTGTGTGTGTGTGTATATATATATATATATATATATATAATATTTTTTTTTTTAAATGATTCTTTTGCTACATAAGAGTTCTCATGTTTCAAAAACAAGAGCCGAAACCATTGATTCAACTTAATTTTAATAATTATATTGATGGTCTCGGCTCTCGTTTTTGAAACATGAGAACTCTTATGTAGCAAAGGAATCATATTTTTTAAAAATATTATAATATAAGCTCTACTTCTGTATGTAGCACTGTCTTCTTAAAATAAAAACAAAAATACTAAGGAACTCCGGATTATTTACCTGACGTGTTCCTTCATATTTTTCTGCATACTTCGCATATATATATATATATATATATATATATATATATATATATATATATATATATATGTATGTATGTATGTATATGTAAAATTTCTAAAGAATTAATGGATGTTTATTTTAAAGAAATACACTGTGTGATGGATAAACTGTTATCTAAATTGCATCTTGAAATACTGAAGAGTAAATTTATTCAATAAAATCACCATTTTGGTTTCAATCACAGCTTCCAGATGACTTCAGAGTCTTCTGCAACTCATCTCTATGCTTTCCTTGTTTAAGTTGGTAAATGCTGCCATCATCCTTGCCTTCAGTTCATCTTTGGTGTTACAAGGAATTTGGTCACTCACTCAACTGCACCCCCACACAATAATCAATGGAGTTGCAAGTCTGGGGAGTTAAGTGGCCAGATGTAAGGTGTTACGTGGTTGCAGAAATTGTCTGACAGCCATGACTGTGTTCATCTGCTTGTATAGCATGATGCAGAGTCCTGTTGTGCCCTCTTGACTCGGAGCAGCACTTACCTCCTCAAGGCACTTGATGTAAGCTTCCATGCTGAGTCTGAGGTCCTGTGGGAACATGAATAGAGGCATAACATCACCATAACTAGTGATTACTTCAAACACCATGATGTTGACTGGATATTTCATCCAACTCTTTCCAAATCCTCTGCACTGTCCTCATATTGATGTTCAGATACTATGAAATGTTCGTATTGGAACTTCTGGTGCAAATGCCAAACAGTACATCATGCCATTTCCAAATTTCTGGTGGAGTGAATTATGTCATGGTGCTCTTTATCTCACAGACGGTGCCCAACTGACCCTACTATACAATGTACATGCACAAAATTAAAAATATAAAATGGTAACAATTTATCCATCACACCCTGTGTGTGTGTGTGTGTGTGTGTGTGTGTATATATAAAGAATCAATGGGTGTTTATTTTTAATCCAACATATTTGACTGCTCGGCCACAAAGAACCTTACGGTAGACCTTGTCCATTTCTTAACATATGACGTCATTTGTTTACATTCGATACGCCAGAGCAGTTATGAATGTACAAGGTTCATGGAAGATTGAAGTTTATAAACAGTAAATTTGACCTTGTCTACCGTAAGGTTCTTTGTGGCCGAGTGGTCAAGGCACGTCAGCGTATATGACGGTTCCAGATAGGATGCAGGTTCGAATCCGTCAAAGAACGAATATTTTCTATGAAAATTTCTCGGACATTCAGGCCGGTAAATGTTATTTAATATTGTTTATCATAAACAGAGCATTTGCTTAAATACTTGTATCTATAAATAACAACGTTAAACATAAAATGTCTTATATATATATATATATATATATATATATATATATATATATTTAGTAATAAAAATATGTTGGATTAAAATAAACACCCATTAATTTTTATATATATATATATATATACACACACACACACACACAGTGTGATGGATATATATATATATATATATATATATATATATATATATATATATATATATCTCAATTGATAATTAATAGGATAATTCCAAGGAGGCTATTAATCCAAAGAGAGCTCAATGTAAGTAACAGAGCAAGATGATAATGAGTACAGAATCCTTAACCAGATGGATTGTTAAGGATTCTGTACTTATATATATGAAACTTTCTGTTTATACATCATTTTTTATGGATACACTTATTTAAATGAATACTGTTCTTTTAATTAAGCAATATTAATTACATTTACCAGCCTGAATGTTTATATATAATGAGAGAACAAGAAATTTGTCCCTCTTCTCCTTTCTTGTTAATGCACTTAATTCAGTGACAAGTGTCAACCCTATAGATCAGATATTATACAGTGAAAATTTCGCATGAAAATTCATTATTAACTATGTGTCAGGTTACAGACTGTATGCACACTTATATACATTGTGTGTGTATGCATGATAATGTGTGTGTATATATGCATGAGAATGTGCGTATGCTTTTCACAATATAAATCTTTCTCCTTTTGTCACCATTTCTTTGACTTTTCTTTTTCCAATGCCATTTTCAATTCTTCTCTCTTTATTCACAAACATATTTTTTTTTCTTTTCCTAGGGCTGTGGCGACCATGGATGTGAATATATGACTGGTGGGAAAGCACTTGTATTGGGCTTAACAGGTCGCAATTTTGCCGCTGGTATGTCTGGTGGCCTGGCCTATGTTTATGACAAGTAAGCCTTTAAAGTTTTTCTCATTTCCATTCTGTTCACATGCAAAAACTTTTTCTTCTCCTTTGTGCCATGTTCCTTCAGAATGTCTACAATTATGACTCTGCATAACATCCTGTTCTTCGTAGCTCTTAGTACTTTTTATCTTTTTATTATCCCACCTGCTTCCTGTTCTGCCATCCAATTATACGAGCTCATTAGGTAATATTTCCCTCTATCCTTTTCTTCAATTTGTCTTATGAGTGTCAAATTCCCGAAGCCTTTTTTCATTATGTGTCCAAGAAATTTTATCTCTCTTTCTGATTTCTAAGCTTGGACGGTATAATGAAAACAAAATAGATTAAATAATAGCTTCAGTTCAAAATTCTTCAAAGGTTATCTGAATAGATAAACACCTGAAGAAGGTAGAAGGGCACTATAGCTGAAACACTGTGATAATAACAACAAAGATGCAGACATTAGTCCTAATGTAAATAAGGCTTACAGCCACATCAAGACTGGTCAGTACCTAGATGGGTGACCTCTTAGGAATACCAGGTGCTGTAAGCTTGGATGTGCTAGTGGTGCAGTGGATAACAACTCAGAATGAGGAACTGAAGAGCCAAGTTCAAATACTAGTTGGGTTCTTTATATTCCCTTACATGTAAATACCCTTGGGAAAGATATGAATCCATCTTCTCCCCCAAGCTATGGGTTAATTATTAAGATGTATCACTAAGCCAAAATTATTTCAAAAAGAGGAAAAAATGAGGTATCCCTAAGCATGGACAGCAGAATGAGAACAAAATAGATGGATTAAACAATGGCTTCTGTTCAAAATCCTCTGAAGGTCACCTGAATAGACAAAAACCTGAAGAAGGTAGAAGGGCACATGGCTGAAACAATGTGATAACAACAAAGATGCAGACATTAGTCCTAATGTAAATAAGGCTTACAGCCACATCATGTTAAAACACTGGTTCACATATGATCACCAAAGTGAAGCAACTTCGAGCCTGGTCAATAGTCGTTAATCTTGCGTATCATATTTTGTCCTTCTCCTTACTGCTTAGGAACTTTATATAGTCGCAATTCATTAGGTTGTAGCAGGTATCAATACTTTTGATGGGATTTTTATAAGTTCCTGGTACATTTTACCCAATTTTTGGTGGACCTGTGGAAGTCCAAAGGAAAAATAAGACACAAAATTTGAACAAGGAAATATTATCAAATATATTGACATTTCATTTTATGAAATGAAATGTGAGAAGTTCAAAGCAACTTCAGTGTCTGTAGTTGAGGAACTTAAATTTTTGCAGGAGCAAAAAGAATGTCTTTTCGCTATGAAAAGTCACCAAGAAAGAGATCAATTCTTTCAAATGTCATGCCACCTGTAATTATCATCAGGGGCGGTAATTCCAAGATTTCACCACCTGTGAGGCATTGATGCAACAATACTCTCACCAGATTGAAGAAAATTCTCTTATGAAATCTGATTTGTAATGTATGTTTCTAAATGTGGCCAATGTACAGTGTGACCACCTTTTTGTTATTGTTCGAGGTATTTAAGTTTTAGGTGAGGCATGTTGTCTGTTGGCTTGCTTTGTTTTAGGTATTTGTATGATTGTTTTTTTTTGGGGGGTTCTCCGTGTAAGCAGATTTTAAATAATCAATGGATACAGTGACTTTTTTTTTTTTTTTCTTTGAATGCTAAAATATTTTCCATGTCCTTCATGGAACTGAATAAATTGGGGATAATGGTTTCTTAAAAGCTATACTAATTAGGCAGTCATTTACAAATTACTACAATAATGGTATCATTTTGATCTACTCTGTTGTGTAATGCTCAACTCATTTCTTCTTTACAGGGAAAAGTTGTTCCATCAGAGGTGTAATACCGAATCTGTCTCTCTTGATCCACTTGTGGATGAAGAAGACTTGAACTTTGTTTTTGATCTGCTCAGTGAATTCCAAATAAAGACAGGCTCTGAAGTTGCCACATACATCATTAATCACTGGAATTCAGAACAGCATGACTTTATCAAGGTGAGTCCAATTTTAACCAATGAATCTATTTTAATGTAAGCTCTGTGTTCTTTGAGACTATAGGGAAAACAAAATGCAGATGAAGCAGCCAGTGGCTGCTGATAACGGTACCCACACCCTGTCAGTTAAAGAAACTGTTTAGTGTGCTGTCTCTGCCAAAAGAAAGCACATGGCTGCCTTGCCAGAACAGAGCTAGTGCAAAACCTCAAAACATCTGGTTATGATGAAAGTGTTTACCTACTTCGCTATCAAATAATTAGGATGGTGAGCAGAGTGGTGTTAGCTATGCAAATGATTCATTTGCTAGCAAACCGCTAAAGCTTTAGGCTCTATAAAATCAGGCACATTTTCTGGGAAGATGGAGAGCTTGGCAGTACACTGCATTGATCACACAACAGAAGTACTGTGCATTACCAAGGATTTTTGTTCGTGTTAGCCAGTGTCATTTCAAATTCATTCATCCTTGTTTGCATTTCTGGTGTCTCTGCTGTGTTCATCCCATACATGTGGTGTTCCCTTGTGGAAGACTTGTCTTTGCCTTGCTCATCATGATCCAGTGTTTGATTCTGGTGATGCTGTGTTTTCTGTTCCTCTTTGTTGGCAGATACACAACTAATAAGAAGAATAACCCTTCAGAGACAAAACCTGAAATAAATTTAGAAAATGTCTCAAAAACATACCTTTTGTTATTCTTAACCAAAATATATAAGTGTTGGATTACCTCCTCCTAATTTTCATGTCCTGGGTATGACGATAAACTGCATCCTGGGCAAGACTATAAACTACGTCCAACAGGAAGGCCTCGGATAATACATTTTTGAAAGAATAATATTACCAGCTATACGTTTTTGAAAAAATATTACCAGCTATACATTTTTGAGGAAAAAAAATAAAAGAAATAGATTTTTGACAAAACAAAAATATTACCAGGAAAAAAAAAGTTATTGTTATTAAATGACTCATTGATGATGATATGCCATAAACCAAACCAAACCTCCTAATTTTCAAAACTGCTCCTAGGTGATGCTCTCTAGACTATAAATACTCTGATAATTTTCCATAGACTCTTATCCACTTATTCGTCAACATGTAAATCTTTTGCAGAGAACATGCTTCCCTTTGGGAAATGCATGAACCACACATACATAACACATGTATGTACACACATTCACTCATTTCATATACTTTGAACCCAAACGGTTTTCACATTCTTTTCTTACACATTGTCTTTGTCACTTGTAACTTTTCTTGTTAATATATTATCATTTGTTTGTATACATATATATTAGCTTTTGTTGTTTCTTTTTATTTATTTTCATGGGCTCACATCCCGAGTCTGCCATTTTGCCATGGGCATTTCTGGAGACAGCATGTTATTCCCAATTTCAAACACCAACATTACTAATGCCTGAAACAAGTTGAGAAACTTATAACCACCTGCAACATAAGCAAGAAAATTGTGAAATCTTTGAAGTCATATTGCAGGTTTCAAAATGTTAAGATGCATTCATGTCATCACCTTACCTCGTGCAAAGTACAATAATCTGATGGTATATCATTTTCTATAGTAGATAAATTACGTCAAAATATATATCACCAAGATACAAGCATTCCCTCATTCAAGAGTATAACCTTATCTGCTTATAAAATCTACCTTTTACTTAGTTTTTTGTTTTTTTTTTTGTTTTTTTAGCTCAAGGGAATTAACTGGAGATATACGAGTTACCTCCCTTGATTTAACTCGTATCTCGATGGTTGGAATATTCTTTTGTCTTGATTTTCTTTTTTAAACAACAAAAACAAACACTGTATAGTGTATATCAATAATTCCCAATCTTTCATCTTATAGAAATTAAAATTCCCTTCATTTTAAAATTTAAAAAAATTATTTTAATTCTTTTTCTTTTTTTTGTATGAATTTTGGTATTTTAAGTTTTCTTATTTTCTTCTTAATATCTTTATATAAGCTTTAAATTAAAATGACTATTACTAGTTTTATCTTAACACACGGTGTCCATACACTCTTCATTATTGCTAATTGTTTTATTACTGAATTTTACTTTTTGCTTAACTGCTATTTACAAATGTTGCCCAGATTTGATGTTGGACTTCATTTATTTTCATAGCATTATTAAAGTTTTTCTATCTTTGAACTTTTTTTGGGTGAATCTTTGGGTAGTAAAGTAATTGGAATAGTGCAAGCAATGTATGTTAATATAGACAGTGGAACCTCTATACTTCAGCAATTGCTATAGAGAAAGCTCTCTTGTAGTATATCATATCAAATAAGACACCTTATGAAGTTAGGTATGGAAAATTATTAAGAGATCCACTTGTAGTAAGGTAGAATAAAATATTATGGGTAAACCTATTTGGATTTTGGGAGAATGTAGAAAGTGTTATAAAAGCTATAGTACATAGGTACAAATAATCATAGTTTTTAATTACTATATCTGCCATCCTATTGGATACACCCAGATTTTGTCGTCGAATATTTGGGAAAAAATGCGCACATCACAACCAAAAAAAATCAAAATTGTAACCTTATTTTTATGACATTCTCATTAACCATGAAGAAACATTTACAGTATTAGCACAAATTATACTATTGATTTTTTTTTTTTTTTTTTTTTTTTTTTAATAAAAGTTAGGTAAGGTTTAATTACAAGGACATTTTTTTTTTTTTTTTTTTTTTTTTGAAAAGAATTTTAGTAAATTTCATCATGCTTTTATTAAAAATTGTTTTAGTTGTTTTTCAGAGGGCAATATCTGCACATACAGTAAATTTATAATGGTTACAAATAAATCTACTGATATCGGTGAACACTGGTACATATGGTAAAAAAGCAAACCAGCATATTTGTTGGTAAATGAAGTCCATACCATACACGTAGATAAGCAAATTCCAATACCTGTATATCAACAGAAACACACACACAAAGCAAGAAGCAATATACCAGTCAAAGCAAATATTTCTGTAAAATCCGGAATTTCTACAAGACAAACAGCAAAATATTGTGCAATTCCATAAATTTCTTTTTCCTGGGTGAATTTTTCAGGATTATTTTTATTGATATTGTAGAGGACCGTGTGGGTTTGAGCTGTTGAATTAGAAACACATGCTGTTTATTCCTGCTAGAAGGTCCAACTACAAGAAAATGCTGGACTCAAATTGAGTTCAACTGAAGATGTGAAGAAGACAAACAAGACCAAGATATATATGTGTGTGTGTGTGTCAACAAATATGTATTAAACAACAAATTTACAAGTGACAAAGATATCAACATTTTTGTTTCTGTGTGGACATAGAGATTTTGTATGTTTCGTCCACGTCTGTCTTCTCTCAACAAACCGTAACCGCCAGCATAACAGCCACGGCCCTCTACAAAAGTTTGTACGTGTATGTGTGTATAATGTCCACAGCGTCTTCCCACAAGTGGGGAGACGCTATCTTCTAAGAGAGCTTATATTGTAGATGTGTTTGCTGAAATGAAAAAGAGAATGACGTAAGAAGTTGCCCAGTATTTATAGTGTAGGGAATTAAGGAGGAGCTAACTCTGCCAGTATCATGTTTGTTCACTTCCAGGAATCCTAGTTTCAAAGCTAAACTCCAGGTGTGCATTGATTCATGGTGAACCCCACTTTTTTTGTTTTTCATGGTTTCCATGTCCCTCTCATACATGACACTGCTGTATTGGATGAAGGGTAATTTTTTTTTTTTTTTTTTTTGAAATATGGTATTTAAATTTGGATAAGTCTATTAATATAATTGAATAATTTTCAGCAACTTCTAATATAAATTTAATAAATCTGAAAGAGAAACTCAATAAAATTTTAGCCCAAATTTCTAATTATAACACACTACAAATATTTGGCATTGATTTTCGGTTTTTTTTCCCTGCAGGTATTCCCTCATGAATATCGTCGCTGTCTTGAGAAGCAGGCAGAAGAGGCACGAGAACTGGCGCCCAAATTTGCAGCTGCAGTTGAAGAAGAGATAAAGATGTCACAATTGGTAACTGACTCCCCAAGCAAATCCCTGAAGAATGATTTCAAAGAAGAGATTATCAATGAATTGAAAGATGATGGTGGCATGATGAATGTAAGTTGCCATTTTTTCTTCGTTTTCTCTTTGCCATAAAAATAAATATTTGGACATTCTTGTCTGTCAACTTTTCTATAAGTGAATAAGTCTTTATTAATGTTTTTGAAAGTGTGTTTATACTAATTGGCACTACTTAAGTAGAAAGGTCTACTCAATAAAAATAGGGGAAAATTTTTGAGAATAAATTTAGTAGATTTATGTTGGCATTGGGCATAGAAGTTAAAATGATCAGTTGATTTACCCACACCAAGAAGGTTAATGAAGGATAATAATGACAAGGAAACCTAATAAATTTGATTTTTAATGTAATTTTTTAATAAAGTAAAAATGGTCATTAAATCAAAATTAATCAAACAAATTTTGTCTTTTATCGTTTCTCATAAATTTTATCAAACAAAACTCTTATGCCATTTTTATCTATAATTATATTATTTAATAAGAATTCAATGAAATGAAAAATAGCTCATGTGCAAATAGGAGCAAATTATTTGTTATATTAATGATATTTCTCCCTCATTTCTCTTATACAGGGTAAGCCTGAAGAACCCAAAGTAGTGGACATAGAAGATGCCATACAAAATGTGGCCAGAGACCAAAAGAACCTGGAAAAGACTTACGACAAATTAAGGTAAGGTATTGTATAATTATCTTATTTTCATTGTTGTTATAAGTATTTAGCTCATTAATTTTGTAATATTACCAAAATATAAACCAGTTTAGGCATTATTACCAATTTACTGGTTTATTAATGTTTTTTTTTGTTACATTAATGTATTTTTTTTTTTGTTATGAACATTTTGGGGGGGTTAAATGTCTGTTTTAATTGTAATAAAATTTTGTGCCTATGCAAAAATATTTTTTTTTATTGTTTTTCTTTCTTGTTATATTTTTTTGATACACCACTTTATACAGTGAGTAATTCTTTTATGTCCTTATTCCCCAACCCACCTTTGTTTTGTATGTTTTTGTGTGTGTGTGTATATATATATATATATATATATATATATATATATATACTTTTAAAATATACATTTTCAAAGCCCTTCCCCAATCTCTTTACATGCGTACACACACACCTCTAAATTTCTTTTTATTAGAATAACCTATTTAAGTTTTTGTGTTCATTAAGAAAATTGAAAGATCCAGAAAAAAATTCTGTTTATTTATTTATTTATTTTTTTCAGAGGTTTTGTAAAGTACAAGAGGGCAGATGTCCAATACAGAGAAACGGCAGAGAGATTGCAGGACTGGGGTGAAATCTTCAACCATGATAAAGTGAAAGATGGTTTACAGAAACAAGCAGCAAGGTAAGTTTTGTAGAATGATCTTCATTGGTTGTAAGTTAAAAAAATATACTATATTATTCTTGAGTATATATTAGCCATCAACTGTCAGAAAACAAAGTATAATGCTTTTCTAAACGTATCTTAGATGTGACACAAGGCCAGAAATATGGAGCACGTAGTGAGGTTTGAACTTGCTATTCAGTTGTAATTGCTCTTGCAAGACAAGCTTGCTAACCATTACACCACATCAAGGTACCATAGAAGACAGGAAGTATGGTTGTCAGCAAGAGAAAAAGGCAAGATGCAAACTACAAATTTATTTGGGATAGATGTTAGAATAATCCAGAAGTTATACTAGGAAAAAACAGTCTGCGTATGGAGAGAAAATTAGTTATGTATGCAAAAATATAGAAACAAGAAATCTGTGAGTGAAACTGCTAGGACTGGTACAAGTTTTCTGCAGCAAGGGTTGTGCATGTTTTTTTCTTTTGGGTAGGTGTCTTGAAAGGAGATTTCTCCACCTGTTCTAATGAGAGGAATGAGAAATCTGAGTTTGAAACTCTACAGCAAGGGTTGTGTGTAGCCCTTTGAGCTGGACTTGGAAGGTAGAGGCAGCTGAAAAGGAAAAGTGGAAAAGAGCTGGTCTTGAAGGTAGAGGCTGCTGAAAAGGAAAAGTGGAAAAGAGCTGGTCTTGAAGGTAGAGGCTGCTGAAAAAGAGCTGAAAAGGAGAAAAAGGAAAAGTGGAAAAGAGTCTTGAAGGTAGAGGGCTGAAAAGGAAAATGGAAAAGATGGGAAATAGAGGCAGCTGAAATAGAAGATGGAAATAAGGCCAAATAGGCTGTGGTCAGCATTTTTATGGCTTCTGAGACTTACCTTGCTGAATACATCTGTTGCTGCTACTACTGCTGAATCTAGCAAAGTAAGGAAACCCCCACATATCACAATAGACAACAAGTGAGATAGTTCCTATAGTTACCTTCAAGTTGTAATTCAAGTTCAATTCCTTAAGAACTCCTCAATCGATCCAATTTCTCAAAACTATTTACTTAATTCAACATTTAATAACAATAAGAATTAAACACAGTCAACCCTTCTCTTACATTTTCCTCAGTTCTGTATCATAAAACTGGGATTTTTCTCTTCAACTATCAAGCATCCTTGGCATTCTATTCATTGCACATAAGTGGGTCACCACTCACCTGATCACCCTATGCAATACTTTATCAGACTATTTCAAATTGTTTTATTCCTAACTTGAACTCTTGTAGACCGGGGTGTAGCAAGATAAGAATAAGGAGGAACACGTTCACTGGATGAAGTGTGTGAAGGAGCACAAACTTTCTCCTAATCTATAATTCTTGTTAAATAACAAATGTACTATCCCTCTAAGAGAAGAGGAAACCAAGAGGATGTCTGTTCCCAGGCGCTAAGAACTCTTGTAATGCTATTGCATGTAAATAGACTAGAGACCAATATCTAATCCTTAAAGAATAACTTTTGTCTATGATTTTTAATGACTTTGAAAGATAAACTGTTTTTATTCTTTATTTGGTCAAGCTAACTTGGACATTAATGAGTCTATCATGCCAGTCATTAGGGTGGTATTCTGTGTCATAACAAAGCTGGTCAATGTAAGTAGTTTCTGGGCAACAAGCCTGTCTTATGGCATGGCTAGGTATCCAGAGCAGAAGATCACTCACAAATTCTTGTTTTGCTCACAAGCCGTGTCGTGCAATGTGCATTCACATAAGATTCTAGAAATATCAGAGATAGATCTGTGATTTAGTTGGATGTTGTCTCAAAGGGATAAGTATAGCTCTCAGCATCCAAGAGTAGTTTCCATCATGCTTCGACTCTAGGGTTTTACTTAATGTACAAGCAGTAGCAGCATTCATTTAACACTGCCTCAACAGTGGCTCAAAAGATTCTTCATTTGAGGTTGTCTGGTAGATCAGATTTCCAGATTACATCCATTTTAATCAAGGTGGCCCACACTTTAGCTATGCAAATTCTTACATCATTTTCAGTAGCCTTTATTTTGCTTCCAAGGCATGTAAAAGATTTGACAGATTTTAGTTAATTCACCTGAGACAGATTGTATTGAGCCTTGCTCTCTTTGTTATCACCTTTTGGCTATGTATTGAGAACTTCCCTTGACAAACGTCATCTAAGTTTTACTTTATCACCAAAACTATCAAGTCAATATGCAGCAAAAAGTTGACTGATATTGACTCTGCAGATGACCTTGCTATCACTACAGACATCGTTACCAATGCAACAGTTCTCCTACATCATCTAGAAAATGCTGCCAATAATGTTTGACTCTGTCAATGCTTCTAAAATGGAATTCATGGGCTTCTGCCAGCGAGGCGCATTACAAACACACGGCACGAATTGTTACAAAATACTTAGATGACAGCAAGTTTCATGTTTCATGCATGGTAAAATGTCCACCACATTCAGACAATGGAGGGAGGTCAGGGAGGAATGTGGAGTCAGGGAGGAGGAGATTCCACCTTAGTGCCGATAGATTAAAGTCTAGCATTAATTTAGCATTTTTAGGTTTGGAAGACTCTCAAATCGATGCCCTGCAAAAAAGTTGACTGATATTGACTATGCAGATGACCTATCTATCACTGCAGACACCATTACCAATGCAACAGTTCTCCTACATCATCTAGAAAATGCTCTCAACAATGTTGAACTCTGTCATTGTCTCTAAAACTGAATTCATTCATTTGTCTGTACATGACCTCTAAAAAGTTATTTATATTTATTCAGCTCTCATTTCATGTTTAATTTCTATTTTGCCATTTCAGATGTATGGATTGTGGTGTTCCTTTCTGTCAGTCCAACAATGGCTGCCCTTTGAGCAATATTATACCAAAATGGAATGATTTGGTCTATCGTGTAAGTAGGCATCTCTTAGAAAAAATCATAATCCAACACCTAAGCTAAAGGAAACAAAATGATTTTTCCCATATTATTGTAAACATGAATCCTGGCCATTACACAGTCTTTCCCCAACTGGACAAATTAACCCCATGTTGTTTCTTGCTTGTGTTGGTGCATATCAACACTAAGACCCCAGTGTACAAAATGTGAAATAATACAACCATGAGAAATCAAAACCTAAAGTTTGTTCTCTGTATATATGATGAACTCTCCCATTAATTTTGTATGAGGATCCAACAACCTCACTCGGTGACACCTTAATCTTGTTAGTGACTTGTATATAAGTCCACATATGCAACAGTGAGGCTTTAGGCTGATTTGAATTCAGTGTCATCCTTCTCCTAAACCAGTTGCCACCCAAGGCTATAGAACCCAGTCTATCCTGTTATTTACTCATAACTGAGGAATCACTGATTTCTCAATCCGAGCTGCATTCCATTACTTCATTGCACCTCCAAAACTGAGATGATGAAAGTTGCCAGAAAACCAACATGGAGGATTTGATTATAGAGGTCAAGGCTCATCCACACTCTTTGATACTACTGATAACACAGAATCAGTGCAAAAGTGTGCCACGGAAATGACGAAGAACAGATGATAGGATAAAGAACACATAGCAAACATTTATCAATCTAACATGTTTCACTTTTTACTAAAGCTTCGTCAGAGGATAAGAAATAGATAAAAAAAGAAAGAAATTTTTGTATTTTTATTTTTTATTTTTCTGTTATTTGATTTTCTTTGGTCGTTCAGGTTTTCTGTGCATTTGACTGATTAAAAGCAATGTTAGTATAATTTATCAGGTTCTAAACTCAACAAGAGATGATGTCCTTTCAAAGCTCAAAAAATTAACAAATTCAAAGTTTAACTGGAAAAAATGTAAATATTGCTTTATGTATGTAACTGTATCATAATTCTAGTTTGTCTGTGTGGGACTCTGATTATAATATATATTTGTGTGTGTGTGTGAAAAAAATGTTCAGATTGGCTAGTATGAGAGTCTGTTTGAATCAACTTTTTCTTCCTTTTTTGTAATAATAAAACAATTTTGGAGGCCAAGACTCAATCATAGACCTAATTAATGCTATGGTGAGGTTGATTGATTTTTGCAACATCTCAAGCCTTGTGGGTGATGTCAAATTTTGTATGGGGGCAGCCAATGATGAGCAAAATCCCTACTGAGTAGTAATGGTCAACCAAACTAGCCTCACCAACCATTATCTAAGTAGTGCTAAATTCCACTACAAATGTTATAGAATGCTTAGGCTGACCTGAAATGCCAGACTACTGGTCAGAACTCTGACAACCCAAAATGAATAAAGGTTGTTTGAAGCCTGTGTGTGGGGAATTCTGACAATGATGGACTGTATTTGTTTAAGTTTTGATGTAAAAGCCCAGTGGATAAAAGCATTGGTTAAATCTAGTGACTTGATCCAAAGAATTGTGAGTTCAGTACCTGGTAAACAAAAACTTGGAAAGTTGAGTTAAAGGGAGATAACTGATAACTGACATCCATTAAACATGGCACGTGGAACTAGAACAGTCTACCCCAGTGAGCAAAATAAAGGATTCAGTTTGACATTCCAACCACCTGGAGAAGGCCAGAGCTTACAACGGCCAAAACGTTGTAATAAATATGGCGACAAAGATGAGGACAATAGTTCGAATAATGTAAATAGTGAACACTCCAAATAGTGTAAATAAGAATACAAAAAAAGCAAAGACAATCAGTTGGCTGCAAGAATTAGAAGGATCAGGATGTCTTGCCGCAGATAGAATTTTTAGTGAGGCATGCCAATACTGAAGTTTTTGTTCTTAGATCATCTCGAGCAGAGGAGTAAATTTAGGATGTCATTTTTCTTTTATATATAAGTTAAACTTAATTTTTCAGAAAGTTTCATTTTAAATTATTTTTTTATAATTATTTTAATAATTTATTCAAAAATTATAACATAAATATGTTATAAAATCACTAAGAAAATAGCCATTTTGTTTCAACACTTTTGGTGTCTTATCAAGTGATTGAATGTAGAATAAAGAGTTTTAAAAGTTTCAAATGTTATAATTTTTTAATAAATTATATTTGCTCTACTCTGTATTGAGAACTCTTTTAAGAATAGTATTTTTGGTTATTGGAATTTATTCCATATACACCAATCCTATACTTGGAGATATATAGTTTTAAAGTATGCTATATTTATGGCATTTTGCTCAATAAGGTCACTTAGTTATATCTAACCAATTTCATTTTGATTCTTTTCTTTTTGTTTGTTTCTTTCACTTTTGTTTATTAAATAAATATTGCACATTGTTATAATAGAAGATTTGCCAAGAAGGGAAGGATGATAAAGCTGTATAAAAAGGAAAGGACATGAAGTTTCTTTCTCTCCCCCCCCCCAACCTCTCAACTATAGGTTACAGAGGTAACAGTGTAAACTTGTTTCCTCATCAGAGAGGGCTTCTTTCTCTGGTTAAACAAACTTCTTACCTGTGTATAGTGCAAACATTCACTGAAAATGCATGATTTTTTTTTTTTTTTTTTTGTGATACACTGCACTGATACTCTAATAGACACTGACAATTATTCACACTCTCACCACGTTCAGTCCTATTCACATATACACACTCACTCATACAATGACACTCATGCCACATTCATTCTCACACACACACACATTAACACTCATAGATAATCACAAAAATATATTTCTCTTTTATGAACTGATCTTCCCTTTTTTTTTTTTTTTTCATTTTACCCCAAGCAAGGCAATAAAGCCACTAATACACAGGGGATTACTGAGTATGAAATAATATAAGAAAAAGAAAAATATTATTAAAGAGCGAGAACAAAAAAAGATCAAGGATTAAGACAGAAGATAATGATTGACATTTCATTTAAATTTTGGAAATCTAATTTGACTGGAAAGCAAGACATTGGAAGAGTTCCAAAAGCAAGAAGTGTGAGAAAAGAAAATGTTAGCATAGGACTTACAGTTACATCTAGCCATTTCAATTGTAAAAATGATGAGACCTTACCGCCAATCTAGTACTGTGCTTAAATTCATAAAGCCTAGTTACCATAGAGGAAAGTAATATATATTTTGAAAATACAAAAATGTGGCACAAGGTCAAAAGTGGGGGGGATAGGGGAAAGCTGGCCTTCAATCTATCTTAAACTTAGCTAGCCACAATTACTGACTCAAACATACCACAGTATTCCTTACAGCAAAACAACACATTCTTACTTACCATTCTTACTACAACCACCATAATACCACAAAGTCTCTATGAAGTCCTAACTAGTTCCTATATGCACAATTTGTCTGTGGGGGAGTGGGGAATAAAAATAACATTTAAAAATGAAACCCCAAATTTTTTTTTTTTTTTAAATGTTTATTTAAACACCATCACCACCACCATCACCACAAAGGAAATTTCATCAGAACCATTATTATGAAAGTATTTATAGAAAAGGCACAGGGAAGTGATATTATAGTGGTGGGAAAGTGACTGAAGCCAAGATGTCAGGACCAATAACATTGCAGATTCTTTTCTGTCTATAAATATATATATATAAAAAAAAAAAAAAATGAACATGTAAATATTGGATTCATTTTTTTTTTTTTTATAAATTCCATTAAAATTACCAATACTTTTCCATTCTTTTTCTACAGGGAAACTGGAAGGAAGCTCTTGAAACTTTATTGCAGACTAACAACTTTCCAGAATTCACTGGCCGAGTCTGCCCAGCGCCATGTGAGGTAAGAAATTTTAAATAGTCATTAATATTTAACCACTTTCATGTTTTCATATTTTCACATATAATACACATGCTTGGAAATATTACTTTTATCAAGCTAAATAAATGTCTCTGTTGAATCAATCATTGTAACACACACACACATATATATATATATATATATATATGATAAAAATAGTTTTAAGGTATGCTATATTTATGGGCTAAAGTGCTCAATATCAGGGATAGTGTATGTAAATATAAAGGTGGACATTGAGGTCAACACCTGTGATGACAGTCTGTTTCATGCTTAAACACAATCTTCAGGCCACCTGAACAACCAATCAAAATACAAGTATAATTGATAATTCAAAAAACTCAACAACAAACATTAGTTATAATTATTAATGCCTTAATATTAGTGTTAGAATAAAATAGAAATCATTCTAATTTTAAATTTTACTATAAAATAGAAAATAAAAATTATCGATTTTAAATTTAACCTGTATTAAGTTTAAAATATAAAATTAAAAAGGAAATGAGGAAAAAATACATGTTTTATTTTGTTTTAATCAAAAAGTCATAATCTCAGAGCAAACACTAAAGAAATACACATATTGAAACAACTTAGATACATTTTAAGTGATGATATAGCAGGGGAAGAAATTTTGCAAATGACCATATATACACAGTCATATAATATACAAGCACATAGACATATTTAGATATATAAACACACAAAAACATGGGCAAAGATATATATCTTTGCCTATGTAAGTAATATTTTAAATTTAAATAATAATTTAACTATAAATGAATAAATTATAATAATTTAAACAATTCAAATATTTTTAGAGATAAAGAGGATTTAAAAAGTTAAGAGTGCTAGAATAGGAAAACAAATATTCGGCAATGATCAAAGTAAAGAAAAAAAACACATATACAAATGGACAGACAAAATATATATGCATAAAAAAAATAAACAACTGCCAAATTCAAATGTCCAGTCAAAATGCAACATGGAAAATAAAACCAGCTTATAGATAGAAAAAACATTTATTGACACACAAATATATACAAATACCTCATATATACTTATATGCGCATGAGTACACATGAAAATATACACTGGTACAAACATATACAAATAAATGCACACATATGTTCATACACATGCACCCATACAAATACATAGATACACACACACACACACAAATAATAATTGCTCTATTCTGTATTGAGCACTCTTTTAAGAATAGTATTTTTGGTTGTTGGAATTTATTCCATCTACACTAATCCTATACTTTTGTGTGTATATGTGTGTGTGTGTATATATATATATATATATATATATATATATATATATATATATATATAATGGACTCTCCTCCCCATCAGTTTTGACATATGAGGATCTGACAGCTTAGTTGATTCAGTCATGAAATTTTGTGTGATAATCTTAAGTGGCACTTAAGACCCACTAGTGATTTATAAAGGAGGCCACATATGGAGGAAGAGTGAGGATTGTGTGATGAGATTACTGTTTGACTGGCTGACCTTTTAGATCTTGCTCTTGCTTCTTGAAGATGATTCAGATAAGCAGATTGAAAACTGCTGAGTCCACTAAAACACGTTGATCTCCATTCTACCCACTCCATGGCTAAGCGCTCAATGGTGTTATGTGGTATATTGACAGCTGACGTTGCTTTTCAGCTTGTCTTTGTATCTTAGCTATAGGAGTCCTACATTCCTGTAGCTCTGATCTAACTGGCTGTACATTAGGATCTTGGGTATCCTGTCATGACATTCTCAAGACATGACCATTCCACCATAACTGAGACTATATATATATATATATATATATATATATATATATATATAATCTCTTTTCAAAGTAATCCCTATAAGCTTCAGTCTTTTAGAGTCCAATGAAATATAACCATTTGGCTTTGAAGCAATTAAATCCAGTCACGATGAAAGCTCCTCTCGGTCTATATCTCCTTCATACGGAAAACCTAGGATTAATCTCTAGTACTTGAGGCATCCCCAAGGTGTGAAGGAAACTGGATTACTTTGTACTTTGGCTCCCATGTATGCATAGTATGTCCACTTTAAATTTATCCTTGTACCACATTCCATTCAGATAGCACATGGAATATTCCCATTCTTATTCTTTTCTGATCCGTACATTTTTTTTTTTTTTTTTTTTTTCAATAAAATCCACCATTAACCCTAGGAATTAATTATGAAATTTTAAATTCTATTTCTTGTTTCTTTGTCTTTCAGGGTGCCTGTGTGCTTGGAATTAATGCTTCTCCAGTAACCATAAAAAATATCGAATGTGCTATTATTGATCATGCATTTAATGAAGGCTGGATGAAGCCAATTATTCCCAAACATCGAACAGCTAAAAAAGTTGTTGTTGTTGGCAGTGGGCCTTCTGGCCTGGCTGCAGCACACCAACTGAACAAGGTCAGTTACTGATTATATGAGAATTTTATTTATTTCAAAGTTGGTTGATAATCCTAAGAGTAATTGGGCTGCTTTATAAGTCAGTCATTGGAGATTTTAACTGTCTGGTATTTAGAGTGACAGACAATAGAATTTTGTTGATGCTAATCACAATTTAAAGATGGTAGAAAATAGCAATGTTCTCTTTATTAACCAACTGTTAAATCAGTTATTAGGTTTAGTCATAAATAATTTGTTTTGAGAAACATCCCAAAACAGTTTTCCTTACATACAATATTGTCTTTCTTTCACTCTAAAGCCAGAAGAAGCAGATGTATTTCCACTTTCTCATTATTTTCATATATATATTTTTTTAACAAAAAGACCATTTTAAGGTTCCATGTAATAAATTATTTCACCACAGCCTTTTTAAAGGGCTCTGGATCATCAGACTTTATTTCCAAAGGTTGAAATGAAAAAGTTTTTTTTTTTTTTTTTTTTTTTTTCGACATTTGGAAGTAAAGTCTGATGAACCTTAAAGTGGTCTGTTTTTATTCAAACATATTTGCTCTGAATTTACATTGAGCTCTCAGGATATCATCCTCCTTGGATCTACCCACACGGATTACCTAGTTTTGCATAAATTAAATATATATATATATATATATATATACTTTTCTCCACTATCCTTTTGTTTCAAATTTCTTGCACAAAAAAGTCACTGAGGGAATATCTTATAGGCTGAGTTTTACCCATTTTTTTTTTTTTTTTTTTTTTTTTAAATGCTGATAAATGTATTTATTTCAGATTTTTTAAATTTTAAAATTTGGTATAATATGCAATCAAATCATATTTTGGGGCTATGAAATTTGAAATGATTGATTTCTTTCTTTCAGGTGTTTATTTACTGTTACCAGATGGAGTTGAGTCATTTTGAATTATATATATTTTAATTATATCACCCCAATAAAGGTAATAAAGCCACTAAAAGTAGGTGTTACTGAATGAGAGAATATGAGGAAAAGAAAACATTAAGGAGAGAGAACAATCAAAGACCAGGAATTAAAGACAGAAGATAATTAACACTGAGTTTAAATTTTTGAAGATCAAAGTTGTTGCAGGAAGGGAAAGTATTATAATTTTATGACTCCTGGTACATTTGTCCTGCAAAACATATTTTGTGAACTCATGTGAGGCCAGATAAAAAAGGGAACTAAAACATGGTAATCAAACAAAAAACAAATAAATATCTTATCAAGACATTTTAAAGAAGAATAAAGAAAGAAATGAAATCGTAAATAGTTTAATACAATCTGTGTCTCTAAAGAACCTTTAAGCGTTTCACCTTAAGCAAGGTGAGAAGCCACTAGCATGCAAGGGGTTACAGAGAGTTGGAGCAAGAACAAATACGAGTGATAGAGGAAAGGATGAAGAGAAAGATAGGGGATAGATCAAGGCATCTGGAGATGTCAATTGACATTACATTTGAATAGTTGGAGATTATAGCTATCAGGAAAACAAGAAAAGGGAGGGAGTTCCACAGGCGAGAAGTGCAAGACATGGAGCTATTAGAGTAGAAGAGACGGCTACATTTAACAGTTTCAACAGTGAAAGGGTGAGAGCAAGATGCCAGCTTAGTAGAACGGTTAAATTCATGAAGTCCAGGAACCAGTAAAAGCAGCTTATTGGAGCAGTTACCATGAAAGTATTTGTAAAAATGACAAGGAGGCACCGACACATCTGTGAGAGAGTGACTGCAGATGAGATGCCAGATCAGGGCCAGTTACATTGCATATCCGTCTCTGGATCTTATCAAGAACCTTGAGACAAACAGAAGGGGCTCCAGACCATATATGGCAGCAATACTCCAGGCAAGGACGAATGGTTGATGCCTCATCTCTATCAGGAAATGATGTCGTCACTCTAAAAGGGCTAAGGGGAAGAGCCTTTCAAATATTGCACTACCTGACAGGGAGCAGTAATCCAACCAAGTTGACTGGAAAGCGAGACACCAGAAGAAAGTTCTATAAGCAGAAAGTGCAAGAAAAGAAACTGTTAGCATAGAACTTAGTTACATCTAATCATTTTAACTATAAAATGAGGAGACCTTGCTACCAATCTAGTATGCTTAAATTCATAGTCTACATACCATAGTTCAGGGGTCAGCAACCTATGGCATGTGTGCCACACAAGACATGCCAAGCAATTTCCAATGGCATACAGCCACAAATGACATCACGAAGTCCGAACCAATAACTACTACAATGCAAAGAAGATATTTAGCCAGTTCGAAACTGCTCACTTATTGGAATCCCATTAATAATAAAAACTTAAAAAGAACTTTTAAAAACAGTTTATTTCTATTAATGTGGTTTATATATTATTGTATATATTACTATATAAAATATATCGTAGAACAGGTATATTGACCTTGACTCATATAAAAATACATATGCTGTTGGCACACTGAATGATTTTAAAGCCCTAAGTCAGCACATAGTCAGCAAAAGGTTACCAACCCCTGCCATAGCTTATCAGAACAATTACCATGAAAATATTTATCGAAAAGACATGGGGAAGGAAAGCTATGGATATATAAAGTTTTCTTATGCTATAATTATCTCCTCTGACTTGCTACTGAAACTTAACAAGCATTATGGAATCCAATCCAGTGTTTGGTCACCATGATGTCTAAAAATGTTAACTTGGCTTCAGATGAAATGATTTATTGGTATTTTGTTAATGTTCAGTTTGATGGACAAGATGTTTAACCTTTCATAAGTATTAGAATGTTAAGTTACCAAATATTTATACATTTTCTGTTATTCCAGGCTGGCCACAGTGTCACTGTATATGAAAGAAATGACAGAATTGGAGGACTTTTGAGATATGGAATTCCCTCTATGAAACTAAGCAAACAGGTAAGTTTACAAGATCATGATTCTTACTGAACTGTTATGTAATATCAATTCTTCTATATAGCAGTGGATGCTGAACAATCTCATCAGAGATGAAGGAAAGACTGAAATGTGGTTCCATAGAAGGATGTTAATAACATGAACTAAATATATGAGCAACAATGGTGTGTTAGGAAAAATAGAAACAAAAAGGACACATAGTTCAAATCGGAAAGAGACAGTTGAAATTTATCAGGCACATAAAAAGAAAAGACTGAAGAATTTGATACTCAGAGGACACATTGAAGGCAAGAGAGATGGATGACGAGCTTGTGTAAATGGTTAGCAGAATGAGGAAAGACAAACCTTACAAAGGACAGGACGTTATGAAAAGCAATGATCGCTCATGTCCTGAAGGCCACATGGTACATAGAAAAAGTCATACACCTGCTCTTCAAATTGGTATTAAAAATTGGATAATTCTCACAGATATTGGTTAATTTTCATATTTTGTCATGTATTTCACATTTTTCACCATTTTTATTCAGCTTATTGTTGAGGATTTTAATTCAGTTATTATTTTTACTAAGTGGGTTAAGAATTTAGAGCTTTTCATTGTCTGGAAAATCAGTTTGAAATTTGTTTGACTTTTCAGCCAATAGATATGTTTCTTTAATTTCTTTTTGAAGCTTTTCATTGGCTGAAAAACATTGATGTTGAACTTATTTAAAAGGCTATTTATGTAGCTGGAAATGCTTCCTCTGGTGAGTCTTTGTTGGTTTTTTCAGTATGTTACAAGACATCACAGTAAAAACAGGGGCAGATTTAGCGGGATGTATAGGGTGCATACCCCTCCCCCACTACAATTAAAGTAACTGAACTTAAGTCAACATTAACCTATCGCCATAAACTTGAATTCTAATCTTATAAAACAATTTCAATCTTACTGATATCAGTAAAACAAAATTTGAAAATGACCAGCTAAAATGAAAAAAGTTTTTTATAATGACTTTAGTAAATCTGCTTTCATAAATGTTATATAATCACTTTGAATCTATAATTTTACATATCAAATAAATAAAAGAAAACACACACACACATATATATATATATGTGTGTGTCTGTGTATGATCACTCTACTCATTTCTATAACCAATATATAGTGTGGGGAAACAAATTATCGTACACATACAAATTTCTAATTTATTGTATTTCTAACTAATGAATAAACATACTTTTCATATAATTAACTGTACACAGATGCATAACTTAGTATGCAGAGAAAACAAAAAAAATGATGTAATAGAAATAAATCTCATTTATCCATTTCAATGGGTGAAAAAAGTATTTGTACAAACAAAAAGAGAATACATAATCTCCATTTAATACTTTGCAGAATAGCCATTATTCACTGCTACAGCAACTGACCTTGTTGGGGATGTGCAGAATGAGTGAGTGTTAATTCACTTTAGATAAGTAAAGTTGTTCGGATAGAAGTCTTGGTGTTCAGAGTTTTCTTCGATTTGGGCTTGCGAGTGAGTCAGTAATGATTTAGTTTGCGCGTTACTTTGCACGGCAAGATTGCAGTTGCAAGCGACATGGATTATATTAGCATATCTCTCTGCTCATTCAACTGACTGATTTATTGTAGATGGTCAAAAAGAATGTATGGTTTGAGATTCTTGAATGACGAAGTTTGTAGAAGATATTGAACAGGAAAGATTTGTCTCGATTAGCGAGACGGTAATTAGTAGTCATCACATTTTTAAGCTTGAGTAAGCAGTCGAAAAATGGTTTGCTGCTGATCTGCCCAGGTCTGCATCTGCTTCCACGTGGTCACACGTGCTTTGGCTTCTTTTTAAGAGGTCATAATCGAATGGGTGGATCCAGAGCGATTTTGCACCAAAACTTCGAAGTGCACGTGCGGGTGACCTGATTGGTAGAAATGAACCAATCAGAGGGCTAGATTTACGAATGAAAGTTGGAATAGTGCATTACTCGAAGAAGGTAAGATTGGGCTAATAGACGAGTCCAATAACCTCCTCTTGTAGTTCTTGATTAATGATTTGCAAATTTTAGTTTGTATTTTGTTCCATTCTTCTTCACATATAGTTATCAGGTCTGGGATTTTTATTGGAAATCTTGATTGGATTTGAATTTTCAAATAATACCACAGATTCTTGATTGGTTTTAAATCTGGGGACTGACTTGGCTACTTCAGGATATTTACATTACTTTCAGTAAGCCATTTCTTTGTAGGTTTTACATTATCTTGTTGGAAGATCCATTCAGAAGTAAGTTCAAGATTTTCAACTGAAATCATTAAATTTGCTTCCAAAATATTTTGACAAGCTGCAACATTCATTCTACCATCTATATCTAGCAAATACATTTTGTAGAAAAAACATCCCCAAATGATGCTGCCACCATCAAATTTCACTGTTAGAACTGTGTTTTTTTGTTTGAAGGCATTGCCATCTTTCCTTCATACATGATTTCTAGAATTATGTCCAAACAACTCAATTTTGGTTTCCTTTGTCCATAATACTCATTCCCAATACATTTTTTCCTTATCCTTACTTTCACAAAAACATTTCAACCTGGCATTTGTCTTTTCAATAGCATTGGAGTTTTCCGAGGATATCATCTTGAAGGAACAGTTAAATTTTAATGAATTTGCTTAAACCTTTTTGTTCTCTTTTTTCCAGGTTGTGCAACGAAGAATTGATCTAATGGCTGCTGAAGGAGTTGAGTTTATTACCAACTGTAACATTGGAAAAGACGTTTCTGCTCTTGACTTGCATGAGAACTGTGATGCCATGGTCTTGGCACTTGGTGCTACCTGGCCACGAGACCTTCCAATTCCTGGTAAAATATTTTTTAAACATTTTTTTTGTTTTTAATTCATTAACTTATTATTTTAACACAACACATAAGGCATTTTTATCTATCTTAGACTGCAGTTTTTAAATAAAATTTTATTTAAAAATGTATTCTTAGATGTGTTAAAAATAAGGCAATTAAAACTCACAAGACAAAGTTCTGTACATTGGCAGATTTATTGATAAAGAGTAAAACTAGAATAGAAATAAATACATATAGATTTAATAATTTGGTCTGAAAATAGAAACAAACAAGGTTGACAAGAAATAAAGACAGCCTGAGGCATGAACATAGAACTGAAACAATTTGTCTAATAATGAGTAAAAGAAGGTAGTGGGTACTTCATATAGATGAATATGTATAAAGTTTGCTACGAGTATGTATTCTAATGTTGCAGAAAGGGAAGTTAAGAAGATTACATTTTGCAACGGTGTACGAGGACACGTGTTGAAAAGATTTTACACGGAGAGGTACAAACGTTAAATAAATGTAGGAAATAAAAAAGGCTACATTGAACTGAAACAAATAACATGGTAAGAAAACAGACATATGTAAGGAGAAAGTTAACAAAGCTACAAATCGATGATTGTTAACTCTAGGGATCAAATCAGGAGATAAAAATATCGACAGCATGCTTTGTAAGGTGACATTTTTCTTTCTTTGTTGTTGTTTCCTTGTGTGTTCAGGGCTACCGGAAGTGGTCAAACGGTGACACCGTAAAAAGTATCTAACCTAAAAAAAAAAAAAGGATCAAAAGAAGGGAAATAAACAATATGGTTTCTGCACTGTGTAACAAGAATTTCCTTTTTTATTTTAACTTAAAATTTTGTAACGTTGATAAGAATATATTTTATCACATACTATGACATAACTTTTTTTTTTTTTTTTTTTTTTTGACTTGCATAGGGGGATAAAATTATAATGAATTTACATAGCAAACTAATCACTACTTCCAGGGAAAGTGCTTGGATGAACTACATTCCTTGGGTCCACCAGTCTAACCCTCAGAGATAGTATCCACCATACCACTTACATGGTAGCAAACCACCCACATTCCTTCTGTATTCCATTGGCAAGAAATTAGTTCCACTTGAACAGTTTCTTTCCATGAACAAGTGTTCTGTGGAACAGACTTCCAAGAGGATGTTTCCCCAATCACTACAACCTATTGAACTCTACTGTAAAAAAAAAAAAAAATTCTTCAAATTTAAAAAAATTATATTTGTGACCTGAAGTGCTTTGAAAAAATTTTTTGGGAGAAACACATTTCTGTAAGCCAGGTATCAAAGATAAATTCTGTTTTTTTTTTTTTTTTTTTTTTTTATTCTTGGCCCACATGGTGGGGATCAATTTAAAATGAATTTGCATAGAATACTGAAACACTCTTCAAATTTCAAAATTTTTTAAAAATATATATATTTGTGATCTGAAGTGCTTATTTTATAATATTATGAAAAAAAATTCTGAAAATTTATTTTTGGGATGAGAGGTATTTCTGAAGAAATGCCAGACTTCAAAGATAAAATTCTTCAATTTCAAACAATATACTCTATGATGAAAAAGAACTTAAATTTTTCATTCATTTTTCCATTTCTTACAAGCTTTATCATTTAATCTTATTTTTCTTTTAATGCAGGCCGAGAACTAGAAGGCATCTATTTTGCAATGACTTTTCTCTCAACCTGGCAGAAAAATCAAGAATCTAAGACAACCGATCAAGTAACAATCACTGCTCAGGGTAAAAAAGTTGTGGTCATTGGAGGTGGTGACACTGGTGTCGACTGCATTGGTACTTCTCTCCGTCAGGTATATCTTATTCTTCCTTTGGCAAAATTTGAAAACAGGTTGTCATCTGTGAAATTTAAAAGGTTGTTTGTATTTTTTATGAGTGCATGTTCAATATATAAACGAAGATAGTAGCAGTTTCTACTACAGACCATTATTATTTTTATGGTGACTTTAGTGAAACAAAGTACTCAATGTCTCTTGGGTATGTCCATTTTCTATTTTAGTTCAGAAGTACGAATAACAATGGTTAAAATGGTCAAGCTGAAGTCAGCTTTGCACTGAGTTAGAACGACCAATTCACTTCTTGAGTCGGGCTGCCAAAACATGTCTGAATGCTGTCATTGGGAAGTGGTTAAGAGAAAGATTCTGTCATTTCCAGAAGCAGGGTCATAAAATTATGCATATGACCAGAAACCCTTTCTAGTTTCTTTATAACTTGCATCCTGGAAAAATTAATATTTTTTTTTTTTTTTTTTTTTTTTTAATTCTTTATTATTTTATTTATTGGCTTTATTTAATTTTTCCCACACTCCTCCCAATGGCTGCAGAAAGAAGATCTACCTTCCAATGTATGTTTCTTATATTTTATTTTTCAGCCATATCCAGTTTATAAAAAAGCCACTTAATACATGAAGTAACACATATTTTAATAAATTGAAAATGTATTTTCTACAATGGTTTAAAAAAAAAAATTAGATTTAAAGCTTTGTAATTTTTTTTTTTTAATCATTTAATTAAAATTAAAACCTAATTTTTTTTTTTTTTTTTTTTTTTTTTTTAATACCAGGGAGCCAAAAGTGTGGTCAATTTTGAAATTCTGCCACCTCCACCCCCATCTCGAGCAGATGACAATCCTTGGCCACTGTGGCCTAAAGTCTTTAAAGTGGACTATGGTCATGCTGAGGTTGCACATAAATTTGGAAATGACCCAAGAATATACAACATTGTCAGCAAGGTAAGACCCGATTTTTTCTTTCCATCTCTAAATCACAACAATGGATCTCCACAACTTCCATTCTTTTGTTTCTGTGTAACCTTTGACCTTTTTAATTGTCCTTGTTCGGCCAACCAGTTTAACAAATTCATTAAATAGATTACTGTTTCTCCCCTTCTTCATGCCTTCAATATGTCCTTAGAGTGTTAAATTCTCTACACCCTCTTTCCTCATAATGTATCACAAAAATTTCATTTGTCTCTTTCTGCTTGTAAATATAAGTTTTATATTTCTGAGATGAGGTATTGTAATTATTTACACTGTTGGACTTGTTGTCCTCATCTTTGTTGCTATATTCATGACATTTTGGCCATTGTATGCTCCAGCCTTCTTCAAATGATTGGAATTTCAAACTGAACCCTTTATTTTGTTCACTGGGGTAGATTGTTCTAGTTCCACATGCCATGCCTCAAGGACACATGACCCAGTAGATATAAGCATTACTTGAATCTAGTGACTTTACCCAAAGAGTTGTGAGTTCAATACCTGGCTACAGCAGAGTTGAACAACAACTTGGAGAGTTGAATTAAAGGCAGATAACTGATTCTGAGACATCCAGAAGAGGTATGGCACGTGGAACTGGAACAATCTACCCCGGTGGATGAAATAACAGGTTCAGATCAAAATTCCAATCACCTGAAGAAGGCCGAAGCATACAACAGCCAAAATGTTGTGAATATGGCAACAAAGATAAGAATAACACTCCAAACAATGTAAATAGTGGAAATAAGTTTTATTGTTGTCCCTATTTTCCTTAAAACTTCCTTGTTAATTACATGTTTAGTCTATGGTATTCTCAGTATTTATTGATAGAACCATATCTCTTCATCTATGTGGAAACAGCATTCATTGCCATAAGGCAATTCAATATTCTTTTCTTTATTTCAAATGAAATTTTCCTATTTTTTTTTTTTTTTTTTTTAATATTTTGCTTATTTTCTAGAAGCTACACTTCTCAATTAGCATTTGCTCTTGGTTTTCTTTCACAATTTGTATTATCTGTTACCATAGGATCCCGATAGTTAAATAACAATCAACAATATTAAAAATACATTCTTGTTTCTTTACAGGAATTTATTAGCGATGGCAAAGGGCATGTGTGCGGAGTAAGAACAAAACTTGTAGAATGGACCAAGAATGAAAATGGCCGCTTTGTAATGAATGAAGTTGAAGGTAGGGAATTAACATAGCTTGGTCATTTATTGGACCTATATATTCTTTTTTTAATCATTTCACCCCAAACAAGGTGATAAAGCCACTAGGGTACAGTGGTTACTGGCAGTGAAAGAGTGAAAAGATTTTAGTGAGAAGTGGGGAAAGAACAATAAAGGAACAGCATTCAAGAAGACAAAAGATGGCGATTGGTGTTGCATTTAAATTTTTGAAGATTGTAATTAACAGGGAAGCAAGAAGTGTGAAAAAAGGAATTAAGAATAGAACATATGGTGGCATCTAGCTAGTTCAATAGTAAAATGGTGAGACCTAGTTGCCAATCTAGTGACACTTTTAAATTCATGAAGTCAAGGCATCAAGGAGGAAAGCTCATCAAAACAATTACCATGAAAATATTTGTAGAAAAGCAGAAGGAAATCATGTCATGTCTGTGAGAAAATGTCGAGATGCCAGGTCAGGATTGATTATATTGCAGATCCTTCTTTGAATTTTGTCAAGAATCTCAAGATATATAGTATAAGTACCAGACCAGATATGTTAATGTTCTATGCATGGACAGATTTTAGATTTATAAATGTGCAAGATGGATTCAGACAAGAAAAATTGTCTGGCACAACACAGTGAACCAATTTTTCTAACAATAGACTGATTCAATGTCTCATGCAGCTTTGTGACGTTGATTAAAAGCAAAGATGTCGAACACACTCATTCCTGTCTACTTGGCATTCCATCTGAAATGATTATCTAATCTGAAATAAAATTTCAATAACATTAGACAACATTTTCACAAGATGACCAGAGTTACTAAGAAGCAAGAATGCTACGAAAGATTATTCTTTGAGATAATTTGCAGAACATCAGAAAAAAGACAAATATATGTAGCCACCATATATATATATATATATATATATATATATATATATATATATGCAGAAGGATCTTGATTGGGCGTTCATCAAAATAGGTAGGGAGTAGATGCAATAGGCAACAGACTACAGAAGAACTCAAAATTGATTGCTGCATTTAAGTATTGCATTAATATTTAAGCTTACCTTTTAAAAGTTCAACGATAATTCTTCTGCTGCCACTTAATTTAAAGACAATTTGATGTACATAGGTCCTTACTTTCCATACAAACAACTATTTTTATTTCATGGGTGACTTTCACTGGATTTCACAATTAATCACAAAAAATCTCATAAAAAGTCACCAAAAACAATTGCAGTAATGAAAATTTGGGAATTAGGTGTCTGCATCTGGCCAGGAATGTTTTTAATCTTCCCATGGAGTTGGCATGATTCCAAAATGGTATATGTTGGACTACAGCCTCTATGATTAAATTTGACACAATACCAATACTGACATTCACATTTATTATATACAAGAAATAATGTCAGATTAAAAAAAATTCGTTATTGACTTAAAAATTAATTTAACATTTTGGGTATGAAGAGTAAGCAGATATAGACTTCAAAAGATCCAAAGAGATATGCATTTGTTAAGTGGGGTAATTGAGCTTTGATTTGCTGCAACCTTTTGCTCCATCTGTTATCCTTTCTTCTTACTATATCTCCCACACAATTACCATTTTTGTCATTTGATAACATCCTTCTTACCTAGATCTGTTGACTTCTTTCTATCTCTTGCTGTTAATCCCAAGCACTGGGATCCTTACATTAATCTTTGTCCAGATTTCAATTAGTTTTCATGCAATTCTGTTAATTTCCATATTTTGCAATAAAAAGTTACAGATTCATTGCCTTGATCTAATTCCCCATCCTTCTCTTCATCTTTTCCTCTATCATGCCTCTTTACTCTTGCTCCCACTCCCTGTAACCCCTTGCATGCTAGTGGCATCCCCGTCTTGCTTGGGTGTGAAATGCTTAAAAAAAAAAAAAAATTCAAAATAACATATAAAGTAATTTTAGAAAATTTTAAGAGATAATTTTAAGAGATAAAAAATGGAGTATTGCTGTCATGTCTTTGTTGAAGCTGTCCAGTCCTCACTTGCCAGTCTTGGTAGAGTTCAAAAGCATTTACAATGGCCTTGTAGAGATGAATTATGTTCCACCTTGCAACCCCTTTCCCCACAGATAAAATGTTGCTAGCTTCATGCTACTCCATTGCTACATTCCACCTGTTCAGATCTTCAATGCTAGGAGTCTTCATTTCCTTCATATTCCATTAGTAAGGAGGAAGTTCCACTCAGATAGCTTCTTCCCCAGAATTTTCATTTTGTGGGGATTCTTAAGAGGGCAATTCTCTGATCTTTGCAACCCAATTAAACTTTAACCTACAAAGTCACTTTCATATAATTAAAGAACAAAACCTTTCCGTCTCAATTTATATGTGGTTTATTGTCCTCATCTTTGTTGATGTTACAAAATTTCGGCCATTGTGCACTCCAGCCTTCATCAGGGTAACCTACAGGGAATTCCGAACAGAACCCTTTATTTAATCCAGAGAGGGAGACTGTTTTCATTCCACTATCCATGTCTAGGGACATTTCTTATTTTTAGTACTGCTCAGTTATTGCTCACCCTGTTTCCACTGAGTCCAGTATAAACTGCCAGGCTCAGAGATTGAACTCGCAATTACTACATCACCAAATTCATGAACCAACGCTTTAATCCACTAGGCTATTTAAGAACTAAATGACTATTTTGTAAAATTCTTAATAAAAACCACACTTAAAAATAACAATGAAAATGCTGTTTATTATCTGGTTAGCAAACATCGTTTATGAATCAACATTGTTAATACAAAGAAATAATAATTTCCTTTTCTTTTGTTACAGGAAGTGAAAAGGTATTTGAATGTGACTTGGTTATCATTGCCATGGGATTTTTGGGACCAGAAAAGAATATTCTGACTGAATTATCCCTAAAGCTTGATGCCAGAGGCAACTGTGAAACTCCAAAAGACAAGTATTCAACAAATATTCCAAAAGTCTACGCAGCTGGGGGTAAGAACTGGAAATTTTGTATTCGTTTGTTTTGGATACAAAAAAATGAGCAGATTGAGCTTACAAGATGTGCATTCTTCAAAAGGGTAATCTTTTGCATCATGTTGGCTCATGATTCTCTCTGTGGCCAGGTAGTCTAAAGCATATCAAATTAGATGATGGTTTCTCCTACAAAGGGGGATACTGTTTCAAACTCTGCTGGAGAGCACATTTTCTTAAGTCTCTCAATTCTGCAAGCTGGTTGATGTAATTCACACTGTTTAAACAAACAGGGCATCTACTTGTGTGTTATATATATGTGTGTGTGTGCCCAACAAGTTGGGAAACCAACGAAACTTAAGCTTAAATCACACACCAAACATAGGTATATGTGTATTTATTAATATATATTTTTTAGCTCTGTCTAACCACACCAAGCACTATAATGTCTACACCTCTTGGCAAAATTTGGTAATTTGCTTACTAATAAACTTAATTAATTCTTATTCTAACAGAAATTAATGCATTTTTTTTAATTCTTACTGGAAAAAAGTATTCGTACAAATCAATTAGAATAAAATAATCAATTAATTATGAAAAAAGTATATTCTAGAATGTTCCAGTAATGTTATCAGTAATTATAGTTAACATTATTAGCCATTATTATTACTCTAATCTTACGAGAAGGTTCTAATAATGCCTAAAGGTAAAGAATTGTCTATTTCACAAAAACAACACATTTTGTCTCTTTGGAAAGATGGGAACAGTCACAGAACAACTTCTAACAACCTGAATATTCCTTTTACTACAATTGCTTCATTCATTGCAAGGTTTAAAACTCATAACAGCATCGAAAACCAAAGACAAACTGGTGCTCCGAGGAAGATTTCTCTAAGATCAGCAAGGATATTAGGACGCCAGATCCAACAAAATCCACAGGTTACCCAAGAAGAGCTGCAGGAACATCTGCATGCATTAGGGATTAAAGTAACCAAGCATACAATAAGTAATGAACTACACAAAAACAGCCTGAAATCTCGTATCCCAAGGAAGACTCCACTCCTCTTGAAACGACACAGAGATGCTAGACTAAAATTCGTTAGAGAGCATAAGGATAAAGAATATTCATTTTGGGAAAATGTACTATGGACAGATGAAACTAAAATAGTTGTTTGGTTATAATTATCGAAATCATGTGTGGAGGAAAGATGGTGAAGCCTACTTACCAAAGAACACGTTGCCAACTGTAAAGTTTGGTGGTAGCAGTATCATGATCTGGGGCTGTTTTTCTGCAAAAGGTGTTGGCAGAATATCAATAATAGATGGCAAGATGAATGCCAAAAGATACCAGAAAATCCTGCAAGACAATTTAATGCGTTCTGTTGAGAGACTTCGGCTACCTCCTGATTGGGTTTTCCAACTGGATAATGATCGTAAGCATACCGCTAGATCTACAAGAAAATGGTTAGCTGAAAGTAACGTTGATGTCTTGCAATGGCCAAGTCAGTCCCCAGACTTGAACCCAATCGAGAATTTATAGTGATATTTGAAAATTCAAATTGGGAAAATAGCATCAACAAATATGAAGAATTTGAAGACAATATGCCAAGAAGAATGGGACAAAATACCACTCAATGTGTGCAAATCATTAGTTGAGATGTACAGGAATAGACTGGTAGCTGTTGAACTCAATAAAGGATATCTCTACAAAGTATTAAATTAAGTTAATATGCTTTTTTTTGTTTTGTACGAATACTTTTTTCATCAGTTAAAATGAAAAAATGCATTAATTTCTGTTAGAATAAGAATTAAGTTTATTACTATTTTTGAATAAAATGTATCTTTACACATAAAATGTATCAAAATTTGTTTTAGTTATGGCTTTTACATTTATAAAAATACAATTTTTCAAGTGTACGAATATTTATTTCCCCCCTGTGTGTGTGTGTGTGTGTGTGTATATATATATATATATATAAAAACTATAAGATCTGCATTTCATTGACATAATGATTTTTAAAAATACATGCAAACCTGTTCTGTTAGAGTTATTTTAAAATTTATCTGTTGTAGTTATGGAATTTTTTACAAAATAAGCATTTCAATGTAAGGGAGCTGACCGGAAATTGGTAGAAATGTAAAATGGCATTAGTGTATGCATATTATATGCACTTTAATATTTTGGTTGCTTGCCTCTAATATAGAGGGCCTCGAGAATTTGAAGTTTTTGTTTATTATTTTCAAGCTGTAGTATATTGGTGTTGTCAATATTTTCCTACCCACCTTTCTACTGAAATTTACCCCTGAAGATAGTTTTGAACTTTTCTAAGATCATCTAGATAAAAAAAAATATGGCACCTTCCTTAATAAATTTCATCTTAACATCAAGAAACTGATTAGAGAACTAGAAAGGATCAGTATAAAAATAGATATACACGCACACACATATATATAAGCAAATATATAGATATAGATCCGACAGTATGAAGAAAAATATATGGAAAAAACAAATAAAAATCCTAATATGAAATTATGGTGTTTTAATGTTAATGTCAACATCGGACGTTTCGGTCTAATAGACCATCTTCAGGACATATTCATAAAACATAATATAGACCATATTCAATTGAACATTAAAACAGCATAATTGCATATTAGGATTTTTGTTTGTTTTTTTCCATATATTTTTCTTATATATATATATATATATATATATTTTAAATGGTGCAGTATAATTAATATTATAAAATAGTTGTTATACAAGGAATAAATCAGGAAAGTTAATGTAATTAATGGCAAATTTATTATTATAATAAATGTACATTTTTTTTCTTCACCAGTATACACAAGACAATTGTCAGATGCAGACTGAAAACTGACCATTGTATATATATATATATATATATATATATATACACACACACCATACAATAATGATAATGGAGCAGTCCATTTTATTTACAGAGAATTATTAACACCATCACTCAATACACAATATTTTATATATGTGTATATATATATATATTGTAATAATGATGAAAAAAAGTGGAAAATTTATGAACTACGCATTTTGCCAAGTGCATCTGCTCTCTTTGGCTTCCTCAGGTTAGAATAAAAGTGTCAAAGAGAGCAGACGCTCTTTATGAAACATGTTGTTCATATAGGATTTGCACAAACAAAATTTATATGATTATGTACATAAATAAAACCCTAACAAATGTTTTTTTTTTTTAATTTTCAGATTGTCGTCGTGGTCAGTCCCTTGTGGTTTGGGCTATACATGAAGGTCGACAAGCTGCCCGCCAAGTTGACATAGATTTAAGTGGAGGTACCTATCTACCTGGACCTGGAGGTCTTCTTTCATCTCTGACCGCTCCTACTGGACAAAGTATAGCAGTGTCCAGCTAAGTTATTAATGACCACTCTACCAACTGACAACTCCTGATACAAGCAGATGGACTTAGTGACCAAAATCTAGAAAAAGAATAAGAAAAAAAACTCTTGTTGTTACCTGTTGTTAAATTATTATACTTCTAAAAGAAATTAATGAAAGAACAATTGGGCATGCTTGAGTGTATGCTAGTTTTTGTGCATGTCTTGTAAATGAAATAAGAATTTGTACAATTGTTGAAAAAAAACGGTAATAAGATTTTCATGAAAAAGAAAGGGTTAATAGAAAGAAGAATTATTGAGTTTTTATATTAGAAAAAATATCTAAAATTATTTCATGAAATACCATCAAGTAACACCTAATTATTTTTCTAGATCAATCCTAGAAAAGATGCACAAATATATATATATAATGTGTGTGTTTTGTTAAAATTCAACTGACAAGATATGTCAAATTTTTTTATTATATTTCCCCAATTTTCAAATGTTCATTCAAATCAAAATTGGGGAAAAACTGTCCAATGTTTTGTTTTGAAGTACAGACAGTTTATCCACAATTTGTATTTGAATCTTGTTTGAAAATTGGAAAATATATATATATATATATATATATATATATTAATATTTCAAATGTAATACTTATAATCAAGTTATTTTATTGTGTGTTATTTAAATAAACTGGATTGCAATGAAATCATTTACTATTTTCCCCTTGGTAGCAAGGTATTTTGCGTATTAATATCATAAATGTATTTTTTCCAATTTGAGAAAAGTTTGAAATTTTTAGAAGAATTATTTTTCAATACAATTAAAAAAAAAAAATCACAAATGTAACTTCTCCAAAACTAACCTTGCACAGTAGCTCACTTAACTTGATGGTATATAATTCAATTCTGACAGCTCTTTCTTTTATATTACCTCTTACATTTGGTATAAAAAAAAAAAACAAAGATGGGGGAATATAAAACCTCATTTAATGAATCTTTTTTTTTTTTTTTTTTTTTTTCACTTAAAAAGAGAAAAAGAAAATGCATATTAATATCCTCTCCAAACAATCAATTTTGTTAGTTCAAAAATATTTATTTTTGATTCACTTTTTTTTTTTACCTTTCATTTTTGATGTACAAAAAAAAATTCACAAAAACAAAAAAAAAAGATGTTATGAATAGTAGATTTTTAATATGAAAAAGAATACACTTGTTACAATTAAAAAAAAAAAAGTAACCTGAATTATGTAAAGCACAAAAAAAAAAAATGTTTAAACACAGAAACAATATTTGATGATGAAGACAAGAATGTTGACGATATATTAAAGATTATTGTCCTCTCTCCTTAATATTATATTTTTCTTATATTCTCTATCACTCAGCAACCCCTTGTGTCTTAGTGGCTTTATTGCCTTGCTTGGGGTGAAATTATATATATAAATAATTTTTTAACAAAGTAAGTTCAATGGTTTTAACTTTGTTAAAATATTCAACTCAGACTTCTGAGTTCTCTTTCACTAACAAACATTTCTACTTGAGAATTCATAAAATAATGACGTTTGGTTGTGGTTAGCCATTAGAAATGAGAAATAATTTTATTACATTTTAAATATAATGATTTCCCAATTTACTAACTACACTGGCAGGATCGTACAGAATTTTCCTATTCATTAATTAGACATGAATCATGATTTCAGTGATCAAGACACAAGAGAGTACAATTGCACCAACTTTGACTATTAAAAAAATCTTAAACTGAAAACTTCTAATATAAGAAGTTAAAATCTAATATTCTATAGACCAGTTATTCACAGCATGGGTGGTAACGACCCCCTTCAGTGTCTTATGAACTCTCAAGGGGACAGTAAGTCTTCGGATAGGGGGTTGATGGGGCACTATAATATTAACAGAGCAATAGGATGATTCAATCCTTTGGAACTTGACTAGAACAAGTCATATTTAATATACGCATTTGTTTATTTTTTGTCTAATATATTTTTTTAGATGTATTTTAAACATTTAAACTGCAGTTGCCATATGTGGATAGAGCAAAAACCTACAAGCCAAAATTCAGGGGCTTCTGTGAGCTGACCTGGTGACTACTGTTTGGCAGTTCCTGCCACAGCTGACTTCCAGTGATTGGTACTGTTATAAATAAAAACATAAACACATGACGTTAAGTCTATTGTATTAACTCTGCTCCATTTATCAGTGCAATTTTAAAGTAGGGGATGCCAGTCTGTACAAATATCTGAAAAGCAGCACTGGAGACTCTGAATGCCGAAGTGGAAAAATTATATCTAAAACTGTTGCTCTGGCTGCATATTTAATATATATTTTATTTTTCTCTTTCAAAAATTTGTAATTCTTTTTTTTTCTGACACTCTAAGAGAGTTTAAGAATTAGTTCCATTCTAAAAGCACTAAATCTATATATTTTATTTTAAGAAAATTACCAAAGATAGATTTATTCTGTACTTTACATGACTGATTTCAAGCAATACCTTTGAAACCTGACACAAAATAGTTCCCCAAATTAACATTTAAACTTTGATATAAAAAAAAAAAAAAAATTTTGGTATCTTGATTTGATGTAAGATTTTCAAATAAAAAATGAAAACTAAAAGCGTTAATTCTGAAATGCTTGTTCTTCAAGGCACCTGAAAAAAATTAGGCTATGAACAATTTCACAAATAATTTTACATATTTGAAAAGAAAAACAATTTCTCTAAAATTCAATATAAACAAATTACAATTTTGCTGAAGACTAAAATGTTTTTAAACACAAAGAATTGCTGAAAGATTTGTTCCAGGCTATGATAAAACAAATATGCAAGATAATTCTTGTTGTTTAAAGCTGAAATATTTAAAATTGCTTATGAACAACTATAGGATGTTGGTCTATGAGTTGCAATAAAAGTCTCAAAAAGTAAGATGAAAGAAATGCCAGTCAAAAGATTAATAATCATCAGTAAAAGTGTGTTTGAATTTTATAAATAAGAAAATTCAATGAAAGAATTCAATAATTCTTGATATTTCTGACCTTGTATAGTAATAAATATCTTAAGTTAGTCTAACACCATATTTTGTTTCCTTAATATAATTTTTTTTTAAATCCAATTTGGAGAAGGATTTTTTTTTTTTTTTTTCAGAATATTAAATCTCAACCTACAGCTTCATCCTCAAATATCAATTCATATTAAGAACTAAGCTTGCTTCAATTTTTTTTTATGTGGTAATGTCTTTCATTTCTTATGATATAATTATTTCCTCCATTTTGTGTGACGTCAGTTAATTTTATTCCTAATGTCAACCAGCTAATGTTGTTACGTTAAGTCTATAAGAGTTAACTCCCCTGAAGTTGTTGGCGTAATTCATAAAAAGTCTAATGCAGGCTTCTTTTCATAGTACAATCTGATACAGTTATATTAAAAGATATGACTATAAAAGCAGTATAAAATAGTATAGTTCACACCCATTTGCACAAAAGCCAAATATTGTCTAAAGTCAAAGTTTAGCATCTTTTAAAGAAAAAATCTTTGTTAAAACTGCTTTCAATATAACCTAACAGTTTTAGAACTTCTCAAAAGAAACTGTTTTTGAATATAAGCTTAACAGATTCCAGTTATAATTGGACTGATATAAATATATTTTTTTAAAAATGTTTAAATATCAGCCAAATATTTCCAACTCCATAAAAAATGCCATTTCATTTTATTTTGAATCAACACACTTTTTTCTCCCATTTTTGGTGAATAACTAAAGAACAGATGAATTTATTTTACATTATGGAGAAGGTATCAATAATTCATAACATGATATAAATATGGCTGGTATTTAAAATGGCTGAAAGCTTTCTTGAAGCAAATTGTGCATATGTGTGTTACTAATTTCATATCTAACCATAGAGAAAAAAAATGTATATGTAAGCAGCTTGATGTTATTGTCATGAATGTCTTAAATGTGACTGTTTTTCTAAAATCTTTCAAGCATTTTAAGCCATAGAAAAACAGCTACAATGAAACTAAACATGAAAAATGTGCATCCAATTAGACAGAAAAAAAATGCTAGAATTTTCTGGAAATACCAAAAAAACCCTATGAATATTATTCGTACCATTAGTTATGCTTTTTTTATACTTGTTCAGAAACTAACATAGGCAGTCTAGGCCAATGTTTGGCTGTGATAGTTTCCCAGTGCATTCCAATGGTCAGTGATTGAGCCCAGATAAAGATTCAAGATTTTGAATGTTGATTTTTCTGGGCAGCAGGTAGACCCAACTCCACTTGAAAGTTTAGCATAACATACTTCAGTGGAAAGTTCCTCTGTGGAATTGTGCTGTATGAAGGTCAGTAAATATCTACGCAAGACTCTAGAACTTGATAGCATATATCTTTTGATTATACATATTCCCTTGAAGAATACCTATTTTTTATTGGTGAGCTTTAAAGTGATGTCTTAATGCAGGCTTACTGGATTTGTTGAACTAAAAATTGAATTAGAAATGTTTAGCCAAAAATCTATTCATTTATTGAATATATTATGGCTTTTGTTTAATTCTTTCTTTAAAAAAAATCAAATTTAGCCCATTTGAAAAAAAATGGCAGCTTCCTTCATTTTATATTTTAACTGTTTACATTATTTTCTTTTATCATAAGTGTTGAAAAAATATACATAAACTATTTTAATGGTTTGCAAAAGAAAACCCAGCACCCAAAACCTGTGTTATTCTTTGTGCCAGAATTGTTATTGAAGATGTAATAATTTAGAGCCCAACATTTAGGTTTGCAAATTTTGTCCCAAAATTCTATAAAAAAAAAAAAAAATTTCTACCACCACCATTCCACATTTTATAAATTATACAAAGTACTCACAACTAATATGGATAGATAGATAGATAGATATAAACATGCTTAGATAGATAAATAGAGATAGATATTAACATGCTGAGATAGGAATCTGAACCATGATATAAAGCGATACATCTATTTTTTTGAATTTTGAGACAATTTTTTGTAAACTTTTGGGCTTC